ACTACTGTCCCAAGACTAGTGTCCCAAGGCTAGTGTCCCAAGACTACTGTCCCAAGGCTGGTATCCCAAGACTAGTGTCCCAAGGGTAGTGTCCCAAGACCAGTGTCCCAAGGCTGGTGTCCCAAGACTAGTGTCCCAAGACTAGTGTCCCAAGACCACTGTCCCAAGACTGTCCCAGGACCACTGTCCCAAGACCCTGTCCCAAGACCACTGTCCCAAGACCACTGTCCCAAGACCCTGTCCCAAGACCCTGTCCCAAGACCCTGTCCCAAGACCACTGTCCCAAGACCACTGTCCCAAGACCCTGTCCCAAGACCACTGTCCCAAGACCCTGTCCCAAGACCCTGTCCCAAGACCACTGTCCCAAGACCACTGTCCCAAGACCCTGTCCCAAGACCACTGTCCCAAGACCACTGTCCCAAGACCCTGTCCCAAGACCACTGTCCCAAGACCCTGTCCCAAGACCACTGTCCCAAGACCCTGTCCCAAGACCACTATCCCAAGACTGCTCTGTTTTAAGACTTCTTCGGTCTTGTCCCAATACTCGTCACGGAGTGTCTTCCTCGTTGTAGGGTCTTCTTGAACCACCGTACCTTGTACCACCACTCGAGCTCTAGTAAAGTTTTCCCAAAAACCCTCTCTTAAAAGCCAAATGCTGACCCCCTCTTCTTTTTGGTTGTTTCTATTTCAATGTAGGTGCGCAGGTATCTTGTGATCACCTGTTCGTATAAAACCAAACACAAATCCTCACTAAAATGCAACAAAAATCTAAGTAAGAAAAATAATAAAAACAGAAAAATGAGCCCACCTGAAATTCAAAGGTGACCAATGTCTACCTTTCGTCCAAAAAAAAATGTCTGGTACCTAATTGCCACGCGCTTTCTTCCCCCCACTAGTGATCTTATGGGGTATCACAAAAGCTGTCTATATCCGGTCCCCCCTACCAAACCAACCAGCGTACCAGTCTTAACTCGAGTTGAATTCTGGATCTCCACCTAATATTACCAACGCGTGTTAATTTCTAATGTAACTAAGTCAACGATGTCGACTAATTAGTTACTCTAATTTCCCCCTTTTTACAATTTACAACCGCCAACCTCTAACTTAACCAGCCCCCCTTCTAACCTCCCCCCTTTCTAGCCCCCCTTCTTAAGCCTAAAAATTACTTTAAGCGCCGGGTGCTAAACCTCTCAAGAGAAAACCGTAGACCTGTTTCCAGGCCTGCTCAAGTAAAAACGTTCCTCAAAACTGGGGGATTTCGCTTATCCAATTTTACACTTATCTCCTATAATGTAATGTGGATTCTAACGATACCCGTTCTGCCCAACTTGAGAACTCGAGAATTGCCAAATCCTTCTTGGCTGCTTTCCCACTCGACTGGTCACCTGTTCCAGTCCAGTCTCCTATTGGTTCAGCCAAGTGTCCCTGAACCACTCTCCCACTCGGCTGGTCACCTCTTCCAGTCAAGTCTCCTATTGGTCCAGCTAAGTTCCAAGCTATCTGAAAACCCTTGACAACGCCCCACTTTGGGCACTTTATTCAGTTTACTGGTTTAAATTGCTAGGTTGATCGAAACGATCGAACTTGTAAAACAGTATGGGTATACTATTTAATTAATATAAAGGTTTGATCCAACTAATCTGGTGTCAAAGTCACTGTCTTTTTTCGTTTTATGGTTTTTGTTCCTTTTTCTATTCTTTTTTGGTTTTTGTTTTGCTTTTTGTCTTTTTGCTCGTGTTTTTGTCCCCCTAGTTGCCCCCCTATACTCGGTTAGCTAAGCCTCGTTCGGAGAGCGCACCAGGAAATTTTCTCGAGTTTTCTTAAAAAGCTATCACGGTACAACCGGAAGGTTTGCACGTTCCTGTCGAACCGTACCGCCGGTACTCTAGAATGGGCATTCAGCCCGAAGCTGTCTCAAGTGGGTTCGACTCCGTAGTCTTGATGTCGTAAACACCCAGGAGCGCCATAAAAACACTATGTAACATTCGTCTACTGCAGTCACACATGAGGCTTAAGAAAAATAGGCCCTATAACCACTGGCTCAAGGGTCAGGGACACTATCTCTTGTGTTTTCCCACCTCAAGAACGGTCGGAGCCAGTTCGGTTCGCTTGTGACATGAGACTACGACCCGTTACAGCTTAAAGGCTACTACTAAAATATCCCCCCACTCTAGAATTAGAAACGTCCCCATACTTAGGTCTCTAGATACCCAAAATACATGAACGCCGTTAAAAACCGGGTTGGAACAATCCGTTAGGTTACTTTTTATTAGACAGTGTGACTTTGATCCATTTCAGATGGATCAACCTAAAACTCGCCTTACCTCAACATAACAATCATAAAACACACTCTAGAATTTAAATTCGTACTCACATATCAGCGCTCTCAAGAGTTGGGAAAATAATCCAGTCAGTAACTAACTCAAGAAATAAATAACTAAGAGAAGTTTAATGTTTTATAGTTTGGACAGCAAGGATAAGTTCATGCTCTAGAATTTGAGTTCTCTTGGACCGTTGGGACACTCCAGTTGTCCGCCTTTCCGCTGAAGGTTCACTCTGGTCCAACCTTAGTAATCGCTCTCTCGGGGATACTCTGTCTTCTATTTCAAGTAGGACAGCTCTACTCTCGTTCACTATGATGGAAATTGCGAATAGCAATTTCCCACTCGTTTTTAATTGACAACTTCCCCGCAATTGTTCTAAAATTGCTCTGATTTCTTTTTCTGATTTTCAGTTATCGCGAGAAAATCGTGCATGACATGTTCCATTCGAAATTTTGAAAAATTAAATTTCACTTCAAAATCAAGTATTTTCTGCTCTTCTCAAGGTCAAACTTCCAAATATGACCGACTGGCACATCTCTCTCTCTAGAAATAAGAACGTCCTCATGGTTAGGTCTCTAAATACATGTAACCAGGGATTTCAATACAATATCAATATATTGAGCTCAATATCAATATTCTTCCATTCAATATCAATATCAATATCAAATAGGATGAAATTTCAATATCAATATCAATATCAATATCTAAAAGCTCAATATCTCAATATTATCACTATTTTAAGATACCAGAGACCAAATTCAATATTGAATTTCGAAATATATAATTAAATTTGTTTAGTTTTTTTTGCAATGTAATTGTTTTTTGTTTAATTTGTTCAGAAAGAAACTTTTTATCACCATTTGTTTTATGTGTATGTGTTAAAACGTCACGTTTCAAGCAATGATACAAAATCCGTTTTTCTCAATATCTACAAAAAATTCAATATCAATATCAATATCTAGCCTTCAATATCTCAATATTAAAAATTCAATATTGACATCGTCTCAATATTCAATATCTGATCATTCAATATATTGCAATCCCTGCATGAAACACGCGAACGTCATTCAAAACTGGGTTGAAAGCTTAAGTATACCGATGGTTTTTATTGGACAGTGGAGCTTCGATCCATTTCAGATGGATCAACCTAAAACTCGCCTCATCTCAACATAATCACATAAAATGCACTCGAGAAATTTAAAATAGGTATTCACATAACGACTCGACTCTAGAATTGGGTAAATAACAATTGCATTAGCAACTAGAATTGATTTAAAGTAATCGAGAAGAAGTTTTGAATAAGTAAATCTAGCTGAAGAAGAAGTTTTGTTCTCTGGACCATTGGGCAGCTTCGGCTGTCCACCTTCTCACTCAAGTGTCACTCGTCCAGTCAATCGCACCTCGTTACTTCTCAGCGATTGACTGGACGAGAGTGACACTTGAGTGAGAAGGTGGACAGCCGAAGCTGCCCAATGGTCCAGAGAACAAAACTTCTTCTTCAGCTAGATTTACTTATTCAAAACTTCTTCTCGATTACTTTAAATCAATTCTAGTTGCTAATGCAATTGTTATTTACCCAATTCTCTCGATTTTCTACCAGGAACGATAATTCTACTCGTATTGAATTACTCCGGTAAAATTGCGAATAGCAATTTTACCCTCGTATTTTTAGCGACTTTCCCTTGATTATCACTCGAATCTTCTGTCCTATTTTATTTTGCATTTTCAGTTGTCGCGAGAAACTTGAGCATGACAGGGTCAATTCGAGTTTTTTAAAATTACTTTTTATCCCAAATTAAGACCAAGCTTCCAAATATGACCGTCTAGCACACATTGAACTGGCTTTGGTAGAGACGGTTAAAAGCTTGTGAAGCTGTGTTTAGACGTAAGCCAGTCGCTTCAGTTTCGAACGAATTTTCAAAAATAATCATGGCAGTCCAAACTGACCCATCCCAATTCGTTCATTTTGGTAAATAAGACCGTTTAACGTCAAAATTAATACACCGACACCAAAACTGCTCGAACTTAAATTCATTGGTTCAGGTTAGTCTGGTCATGCGTTTTCAGGTCAGTCTGGGCGAATGGCACACTGTTTTCCTCCCGCTTGATTTTGGGTTTGCCCATGTGCATTACTTTGGCTTTGTCTGGGTGAGACGGGAGTTGCGGCTTTTTGCTCCAGGCAACCATTGATTCTGTATCATCTTGCAGTCGTTTTTGATCCTCTTCAGAATTCACTATGCCGTATACTTTTGTGTTAAAAGGAAGCATCTAACGTAACCCGTATCGAGTTGAATTTTAACACATCAACACAAATCATCTCCTTTGTATCAGTATGACTTCCATATCTAGAAAACTTTAAAAGTTTTGACTGGAATATGTGATTAAGGGACTCCTGACTAACCTCGGTTACTATCTTGGTTACTATGACACTTTTGACTTTCTGATTACCCAACAGGACGTGAAACAAAGCAACACAAATAACGCAAGTCTAACTCACCCTCTCCGGAGAGGGTGCCGTTATAGTTTCTCTTTAGCAGTATTGATTGACAATGAAATGTTTTCGACGGTCATTGCATCAGACTAGTATTGCACGAGTTGAAAGTCGAAATTATTAATGTAAGATGCCTTCGAACCACTCATTTTTTTGTTTCCGAGGCCACTACACTTAGATTTTTCAGATATGGAGAAAAATGTTGACTACCCTCCAAATTGTAAAGCTATTGTTGTTGACGAAAAAAATTCAGTAGAACTCTCAAAAAATTTGAAAGTTGGTATAATAATAATGATTTCAATCAGTCTTCCTTTCAAACTTTTATAGTATTTTTTTTAAATCTTTAGACGCTTGCTGAGAGTTTACAGGCCATCGAAAGCTCAAGAGAGAACCAGTACACCGCTTTGGCAAAACATTTGATTCACGTTAAATTGGTTCGGCATTCCTCGAAGGAAGTACGATTGTTTTGTGCTTGCTGTTTGGTGGATTTGTTGAGAATATGTGCTCCGGAAAATCCATTTAACAAAGATGCGGACTTAAAAGTGAGCGAGTCGTTGACTTATAAACAATTATTCAAGGCAGCGAGTAAAATCCACCATTTTTTTTAGGAGTTGATCTCATTTTTCATTCGCGTTCTGCGGGGACTAGAAGATATTGAGGGCAGCTCATATCATCGATACTTTTACGTTCTGGAGGTATGTGTCACTTTTAAGTTTCTTTATGCTTGCGATTAGCAAGCGTTTTCAAATGTGTTGCTTGGCATGTTTACACAGAATTCCTGTTTGATAAAAACAGGTTACATGCAAGTGTATGGGATTGGTTTTTTAAGTTTTTTTTCGAGACGCTTTGGAAAATTTTAGCATTCTTTGCAAAAAAAATAGTTTTTTTTTTTGTCGAAAACCCTTCAACCGATTATCAAATGGGGTATCCATAGAAAGACCGCCTACATTCGCCTGTGACTGCGTACTCATCTGGTTTCTTTTTGCCTTATTGGTCTGTCTACCACCTTCAAGAAACTCAAAACTAACCTACCAAATCTGAAATTTGTACACATGATATTATGGCCCTCGGAATAGGCAATTTTTTCATTTTTTAACCGTTTTTTGAATCTTTTATATCATTTCTTGAAAACTAACCTTCTAAACCTGAGGTCTTGGGTTCACATGAGATAGCGGGCAGTGGGAAGCTTCCTTGCATTAGCGGCTAATCACAATTATTTTACATAAAAAGTTGTCTTCCTCGGAAAAGTCAATTTCTTGAGGGTTTTTTTAAAAATTTTATGAATTATACCGAAAAAATACCCTCCCATATCTGAGATTTTGGTTTCAATTTAAAGAACGGGTTGTGGGAAGCTCCTTTGCTTTTGTGACTGCGCCCAAATTTGATGGCCTTCAAATTGATTTTTTTTCTAGAGATTTGTCTGCTAAACCTGGGTTTTTGGGTTCAATCGAAATTATGGGTAGGGCAATTTTTTTTCTGCAGAAGCAGCTACGCCCATTTTTTTTTTTACAAAAAGCTATGATTCTCGGAAATGTCGTTTTTCTGATTTGTTGACCGTTTTTCGAACTTTTCTCGATAACCATCCTCCCAAATCTGATATTATAGGTTTAATCGACACTATAGGTTGTTGAAATCGTACACTTATGGCTCAGTTTTCTACGCCCAATTTTTATAGAGAAAAGTTATGGCCTTCAAACAAATGAAAGTTATAGAACTTTGACCGTTATTTGGAAACTTTTTGAATTTTCTTAAAACAAGCAAATCTGAGATGAAAATTTCATTCGAAAGAAGTGGTTTTTCAAATTTTTCCTGCTGAAGCGGCTCTTACTTATTTTTTGCACGAAAAAGTTATGTCTTTGGAAACATTCCAAAAATTTTCACACAACTAATGTTTTGGGCAAAGTTCAAATTTTGAAATTATGAATTTGGTCCCGCATCAGTAGAGCAAACTTAAAAAGGTCAGACATATCTCCAGCTTTTGCTGGGCGCTAGTTGTCCTTCATTGAGACATACGAAAATTTTGGTTCACTTAGTTTTTTAACTTTTTCAATTTTTTTTCGACTTGTTTTTTTTGGAGCAGTACAACAGTGCCGAAGTACAACAGTGCCGAAAATGAAAACTTTGTTCAACAGTGCCGAAACTGAAAACTTTGACCTACAGTGCCAAAATTTTGAACAAATTTCAGCATATTAAAGTGCGGTAATCAAAAATTAAACAGCGATCATTTACAATTTTAAGTAAAACTATAAGATTGACCGAGAAAATTTGCAGCTTACACATTTTGGCGCCACAATTATTGTTCAATTTGCAGTTGCAGACATATTAGCGCGAAAATTGGAGTGATTTTCTTTGATAATTAGCGTCAGTAATTTCCCGCTCTTTAAAAAATGCGTGTAAATTATTCTGAACTTTTCCCGCCTTTTTCGGCACTGTTGTACTTCCGCACTGTTGAACGCCCCCGTTTTTTATGATTGTGTTGTATCGCAAGTGATGGGATGCTCCGCATCGCCACTGTGTTTAATTTGGGCTGTGGAAAAAACTTGCAGTGATTCTTGTACAATTAAGAGGAGCAGGCGTTTTGAAGCATAATTGTAAGAAAATTAATTTTCATTTAGCTTTCGAGAATCTTTTATAGTTCTTTTTCCGCAAAATTTTGCGCTTGGTGAAAAATTTGCAATGGTCGATGGGTTTTGATGCAGTTGATAAATGTTTCAGTGTCTGGCTGTCTGCAAATCGTTTCTTCTTATTGCGAAGCTGAGATCTTCTGAAACTGCTATTACGCTTACAGGAAAACTCTTCAATCTTTTTTTTCAGGTGGTTAGGTAAGTTATATAGTTTTTCTTTTTGTTAAAGAATTTTTCATGAAAGAATCTACTTTGTTAAAGAATCTACTTTTAGCGAGAGCCACATGGGAAAGGCACGTAGTCTGATGTTAGAGGTAATGAGCAGTCTTGTGAATCAGACTAACTGTATGGACAATGAAATTCTGGAGCTCATATATCAGCACATCTTGCCTCCTTTCAAACATCAGAAGCCTTGCGCATACTCACTAGCCGCAGATTTATTACGCCTCACATCAAATGCAATAGAAAGTCATGTTCTCAATGTAAGCGGAGACTACTGCCTCAAAAGTTGATTCATCATTTGATATCGAAAGTTTTACGGTATGCTCGTTTTGCAAGTGTCGATGAACTGGGTTGTCTCTTATTGAGGTCTTGCAGTTTTTCTTAAGTTTTTTTTTCAAGAAAAGTCTGACAATTGGTTCTTTTTTGGATTAGTGTCTTTTATTTCATGCATTCAGTTGTTAGAATTTTCAATTAAATTGCTGTTCATTTGCTGAATGCAAGGTAAACTAAACTCCTTTTGATCCAGTTTTCTCAACTTGGGTCAACTTTAGCCAAAAAAATGTCAATTATGAAAGTTTCTTGAAATTCGAAGAGCTTCAACTTGATATATATTTTTTGAAATTTGAAAATTTTTTCTGTATTTCATCGACACTTTTCTAACTGTCTGTTGGCTATGTTAGAGTAAATTTTAAAATATGTCTCGAATCTCAATGTACAGTAATATCCATAGTTCCTCATAGAAGAGTTTCAATTGATCTTTAATAAGATCTTTGTGCTCGTAGATCTTCCAAATTAAATCTTGTCTGAAGTGGAAAGACGCTTTCGCGTCGTGTAAAAAGTTCACAATGAGCTGATAAATTTTGCTAGGTTTTGAAATTTTAGTTCTTCAACGATGTCTTGTCACCTCTGAATGAAGGCGACGCAGATGACAGCTTCATCACACCATCAAAGACACCCAGAAGTTCATCTAAGAATGGAGGAGAGTCAGACGGGACTAGGAAGAGGAACTCGTTGACAGTGCAGAGGATATATGATCTGATGTACGAGGTGTATGCCACTGCGCCTGCCACTCTCTCTTCAGTGCTGCCTCTCATTGAGATGAAGTTGAAGGTAGGAGATTCAAACTCTTATATGACTGGCCGTTGCTGAATCGGTAGCTTATAGGGTGGCTAAAGTGGCATCACACCTGTCGGGAGGCAAAATTGAGCAGCCGTGGCCGAGTGGGTTAGGCACACGTCTCTCAAAACAAGGGTCATGCGTTCGAATTCCACTTCGGTCACGGTTGGAGAATTCCACTCAAGGTGGGATCGGCTGCGGAGAAATGGATGGCACCACCATCCCACACGGTGGGTCCTGCACTGAGCAGGACCGGGGGCTAATAATAAATTTAAAATAACACGCCTATCGGTTTTCCGTGATATCCACGATTTTGGTTTTTACACTAGCGTCAGCTTACTGATTTGTTACGAAGCTTTTTTTTCTAACCTATCTCTTTTTTTTCTGAAATTCAATGAGTAAAGTCTATATAAAATTATTCTCCATGTTATAAACTGCATCAAAATGTGTCAGTGTGAACAGGTGAACAAATTATGACAACATTTTTTACATGCAAAATGCCGTGTGATTAATTTTTGAGCACAAGGGGGAGCACCATTAAATTTTGAGCAACATCTACCAGGGGGTGGGAAACTGCAAAAGAGCCCTACTTTTTCTTATCGCTCTTATAGCGCTACTTTTTTTTTGCTAGAATTTTTATTTAGAATAAGTCATCTCCAGTGATACAAGGCAATTTTATATTTAAAATGAGTCTTGAAAACGACATACAATAAAGATAGAAAATATAATTTTCCGAAAGTTGATGTTAAACAGAGCAGTTTTAATTTTTTTTCAAATTAGTGTCGTTTTTTGTCGGCGTGGTGTGATAAAAGGAGCTGAACGAAAAACCTCGAGATGAGGCATATTCAAAAGTCATAGTAAAATCAGCAAATTGAAAAATAATTTTTGCAGAAAAATGGTTAGCAATTTTGAGACCACACCTGTCGGTTTTTCGTGATACCCACGATTTTGGTTTTTAGACTAGAGTCAGCTTTGGTTATTGCTTACACTAGCGTCAGCTGAGTGTATTGTTACAAACCTTTTTTTCTAACCTAACTCGCTAATAAAAAGATACATTTGAAAAAATATATTTCAAAAATTATTTCACTTTTGCAGTTATTTGAAGTTTTTGATTCCAAAACGGCGCTAAAATACCCAAAACAACTAACGAAACTCAAGTAAAGTTAGTTTTTACGGTTTGAATTAAGCTATTGTAAGCTTTTAAGCCACTTAAGTTAGCTATTTTGAGCGTGCTCGCTCGCTTTATTCGCTCGAATTAAGACAAAAAGCCAATCATTTCAAACCGGTTCTTCTCGAAACTGGGAAAAAATGTTTTGAATTTCTCAGTGTCGTTCAAATCACAACTGCAAGGGCTTTAATATGATATATCACGTGGAAAATTTTATTTTGCGTCGAAAACAAAAAAAAAACGAAACAAGGATAGGCGGTTACTGTGTAAGTAGCACAGAATGTTGCGACCAGTCTTAAAAAAAAACAAAAAAAAAGTTTTTTCAAGTTGGTGTCGTTTTTTGCTTGTTATAATAAAAAGATCAGATCCGAAGGAAAAAATAGAACTTAGGCATATTTCAGAGTCCCAGTAAAATAGGTCAATCGTAAAACAGTTTTTTTTGCAGAAATTTTCAATTTTGATTCCTAAAATTGCGCTGAAAAATCCAAAAACTACTTTTATATGAGTAAAACGTAGCTTTGACGGCTTAAATTATGCTTAAATATGCTATTGTAAGCCTACACGGTCACCTTATTTGCTCGAAATTAGACCAAAGATGAAAAACCGGTTTTTCTCAACACTGTTTTTTAATGTCATTCAAATCACGATTGGAAGGGCTTAAATATGATATATCATTTAACCCAGTCCGATCATTGTTTGTGGTACCTGATTTTGCGTGGAAAACAAAAATCAAACCAAAACTATAACACCCGAATACAAAGTTCTTGTCCATTTTTCAAATGGTCGGAGCAAAAAGCTTACGTGGATGCGGTTGTCATTTTTAATGCTTATTTAGAGTCTCGAAGTCGATGACAGGCTGCTGGCTGTGCAGTGTCTCGGCAAGATGTTTGGCCATGAAAACAGCCAACTATATCTGGACAACCAGAACCTCTGGTCTGGATTTTTGTCCAGGTGTCGGGATGCCAGTGCTGAAGTACGGATGAAGTTTCTAAAGTGCGTTCCGGCTATACTGGAACATCACAATGAAGACATAGGTCCAGATGTGACCTCGGCGTTGAGCAAGTTGGCACGTGACACCAGCTCCGATCTGAGGAAGGAGACGATGAAAGTGATTGAGCAGATTGGCTTCGTCAGTTTCTCATTGGTCAATTCTGAGTTGTTGGCTCTTGTGAGAGACAGAACACGTGACACTAATGTAAGTTGATTTGCTTATGATCAAATGACTACGAATCATTTTTTGTACGTAAAACAGAAATATTTGAGTTTTTTGCTAGTGTAGTGCAACTGAGCAGATGCTTAAAAGAATTAATTACAACTATCGTAAATGACTTCCAAAAAACGTTTCATAAAAATCTTAAACATGATGCGAAGGAATTGGTTCGTTGTACGTAGAAAAGTCCAAATATTTCTAATCTGAATGAGCAGCTGTTTTGTTTTTGTTCAGTGGGCTGTGAGGAAGGCTGCGATGAATGCTGGCGCCAACTGGTATCACCAACTGTGCTCATTATCATCGTCATCTTCCGCAGAAATAACTGGCTCCGAAGTCTGGTCCCAAAACTCACCTCGTGTCAAGTTGTCCTGGGTAGTGCCGAAACTATTGGCTAATTACTTGTCAACCGATGCGGTCGAGAAGAGCTACGTAGATGAGCTCTTATTCTCAAAAGTGTTCGCAGATTATTATTCAAACTCGGACATTTCAAGTGTGAGGTTTCTCGAAATTTTCCTCGAAGTCGATGATCAGAGCTTTCAGGTGCTGCAGAAGTTGTTGAAGTACGATAAACTATTGACTAAAATTGGATTCAGTGGAAAAATAGGTGAAGATTTGATCGCGAATATCTGTGCTTTTCTCATGCGTCCGGATAAAAGTGACTTTAATCGGAACTACTACTACAAAGACGAAATTTTGGATCCTAAATTAGACGAAAGAGATTTGAGAAACTCCTTCGATGATAATGATTCGTTGTTTGCTATCAGTTCAAGTGATGACAAGAAGTTGCGAGCTCTATTGATGGTTGAATGTTTGTTTTATGCTTACCCCGATTTGTTCACCTCCGTTTCATGTGTTGAGCATTTGGAGAGGTTTCTCAGATTTGCGATTATTGGAAGAGCTAAAGTGACTTGCGACGTTTTAAAACATGTTTTGAAGTCTTTAGCAATTGTCTGCAAATACGTACAAGAAAAAACTAAAGAAAACAACAATGAAGAAGAAATCATGTCAGAAGAATTCAACAGGGCGAAAAATAGTTTGCTCGAATCTTCGAATTCAATTCTGGAGCACTCGAATGATGCCAAACTCTGCAAGTATTCTGTAATTCTGTGCTGTGGTCTAGTAACTGAATCTGTCGAAAGAACCTCAATGTTTTCAAAACTGTTCAAAAAGCTGACTGGCAATATTTCGTTGACTTGCTGCAATTTGTTGGGTATTTTGGGAGCTACTACACAATTAGCTTTCGCGGGGGCTTTTGAGTTGCACAATGAATTACAAAAATTCATCTCGGCTTTTGTGACTAAAAAGTTACTGGCGTCGGATATTTCGGATTTGAAAGAAGATGATCAAGATAAGTTAATTTGTGCCAAAGTGTACGGGTTGAAGTTAATCACAAGATGGCTGCTTGGCCTTAAAGGCTCCAATCTGCGACTTGCTGAGTCCAGTTTGAAAATGTTCGCAACTGGTATTATAAACGGAGGTTCGTTTTCAGAACCGACCGAGAATAATTCGGGACCTCCTGAGGTCGAAAAGGAATATATAGCCATTAGACTAACTGCTGCCAAAATGATGCTTAAACTGAGCACATTAAATGCATATGCCAATATTATCTCGGCAGACCAATTTAACGTGGTAGCTTCTGTGATTCTGGATCCTCTAGAGGAAGTGAGAGCATCTTTTGCGGCGAAACTCGACAAGCATTTTATGGCACAAAAGTTACCTTTGAAGTTTCTCGCTATTTTCGCTTTTTGTGGTCGAGAGCCAAATAGTGATCTGAAAGAGAAGTTGCACTCATACTTGAAACGAAATCTAGCGAAGAGGAAACAAATTTTGAAAAATACAAAAATATTCCAGAAGAATTTTGAAGTTAATGCTAGTGTTGATATTCAAAAGATTAAAAGACAGTCTTTGTTTTCTAATCTCGATGACGTGATGTTGTATGTTGTACATTTACTTGCACATTTCCACGAATTCGATTCCTTAAAAAATCTGGAAGTTCTCAAAGCTTTGAAAGATTGCGTGTGGTTTGTCCTGCAGATTTTGATGTATGATTTAGACCATTTTTCCTACACGTATCATAAATTTATGCTAGACAGTTTAAAAAATTGTCAAGATGCAACAACTGAATCGGGTGATAAAGAAAGTAATGAGAAGTTATACGCGGTATGTGACTTGGCTTTGACTTTGCTGAATGCAAGAGTGAAATTGTTCGACTCGATTTCCATTTCGGAGCTGAATTTGTCGATTCCGACCAAACTGTACAGAGTGATTGAGGACGGGAAGAGAATGAATTCGAAGCTGTACATTCCGGCTAGTCTGACTGAGAAGCCGAAGACCATTCTGGACTCATCCGCTGCGTCATCATTGGCAGAAAAGAACAAGAAGAAACAAAAAGTAAGAATGACAAGGATAACCGGTTACTGAGCAAGTAGCACCACAGAATGTTCCGACCAGTCTTAAAAAATACAAAAATGTTTTCTGAAGTTGGTGTCGTTTTTCTTCTGCATCTGATAAAAAAGTCTGGTCGAAAAATAGTGAAAGAGGTCAATTGGAAAAAAAAACTTGAAAAGTTTTGAGTTTTCAAGTTTTTGATTCCCAAAATTGCGCTAAAAACTACCTTTACTTGAGTAAAACTAAGTTTTCACGGCCTAAATTAAGCTGAAATAAGCTATTGCAATTACTAACTACCTTCAATGGTCGAAACAACAGCACCGCTCGTATATCAGGGCAAAGCCCTGAATTTTCCGACTGCCCCTTAATCCATATCGATTAGATTTTTGGAAAAAAAAATATTGAAAAACTATAAATTTTGGACAATAACAAAGATCAATTGTGAAAATTTAAGTCGTACGAAATTAATATGACCGATTAGCTAGCCTCAATTCAATTTGGAACAGTTTTGTGCGGGTTAGTTTGCCCCGCGTAAATAATTCGCGTTACGCTTTCAGGATTATGGATAAAGTCTTCAAAGTGTGCCTGAATTAGTCCAGAGCATGGCCAAGTTGGTAATTTTCGAACTCCCAAAATTTTGCAAAAAGGATGGGAGATTAAATATCGTTTTAAATTTGATTTCAGGGAGTCAATATCTTCAATGGGGCACAAAGTTTTTGTTATGAACTTTTTCGATCGCCGAAAATTGACTGAATAAAAAAACCACACCAAGCATAATTATTCCGTCTTCTTCGGAAGTCGGAACAAAAATGGGCTACTTACCGTCTCGCCTATACACATAAAAATACCACATTTATGGTGTGCCATTGGTTTTTACACTTGCGATTGCAAGTGTTGCAACCGGGTAATAGACTTTTTCCCCCGTGAATAACTTTTTCACAGAATGACTTGAATTGACATCTCCAAATCTGTACTTTCGTCAATTAAGAGACAAATTTTTAGCATGTCTGCATTTTTAAACACCTGTTCTATTCAAAAAATGCTTTTTATTTTGATTCCTTTGTTGTCAACTCGCTTTTTAATTTTTTCGTTCGTTTTTTTTTATATCAGCGTGATCGGGATAAAGGATTCGGTCTAAATGAAATCGTTTTAGTGGCCTCATATTGCGTCTCTTGATGAGCGAGAGAATTTTTTGTGTGCGTGTGTTTGTTTTGAGGAAGCTGGGGACTTGAAAATGTTTTTTTTAATGTTTTTCGGCTTTAAGGGTTTTTGCTCAGGTTGTTTCTACTTGTTGCCGCTTTGTAAGTTTTCTTCCTAATTTCAAATTCTCTTTTTTGGTATATATTTTTTGCAAAACTAGCTTTGCTCATTTGATTGATAGTTTTTTCGACATTTTGAATTTTTTAGAATTTATTTTCGACTTAGCGGTTTTCTTGTATTCTATCGCAAGTGGTGCGACGCTCTGCTTCGCCTCGATGTAACATTTTTAGTATCTGAATTCCAAATCTTTGACATTTGGTGGCTTTGTTATGCAAGTGCAAAATTTCGTAGGAAGATTATGTTTTAAGAGTATAAAAGAAGTGGTGGGTAAGGGGGTGTAGTTTCTGTAAAATTTTTTCATCCAACTTTTTTTTCGTAATGAGTGTTTAAGTAGGTGAAAGTTCGAACCGAGGAAGAAAAATACTAATTTTTCATTAAGGCGTTCAATCCAACGATAACTTATCACCATTTCTAGTGTTCATGAACTGCTGGTTCGGATTTTGCATCTCAAAAGGATCTGATACGTACTCGTACTAGGGGAATGGAGGACTGTTTTTCCTGCCCCAACCTCACATATGCATCAATTTGATAGTGTACCGATAATTTTTACATGCTTAAGTAAGTATCAGGACCAAAAACGTTTGACATGTCTGTCCGATTTGAACCGAAGTTTGATAGTTGTTTGGATTGGTTGGATTCGGTTACTGGACAGATTTCCCTCCAATTGCTATTAGAATTCTAATATGCTCGTATCATATTGACATTTGAAATATATCGAACGACCATGCGGTGCTTCTTTTGGTTGTTTGTTCAAATTAAATATGCGCGGAATATTTAATTCTCTAAACCATATATCATATCCAAAGTAATACTCAATTTAAGATGGTATTGTCTGAGCGATTTGAAATTTTGCATATGCAACACTTGTTGCATCATGGTCCTGTGGCTTAGCGGTTAAAGCGCCTGTCTAGTAAACAGGAGATCGGTGGTTCAAATCCGCCCAGGACCTTTAGGAATCTTTTTAAAGATTTTCCAACAAAAATTTTGTTAATTTTGAATTTGTTTTCAAGGTCAAACACTTGATAAAAGACGATGCCAGGTCTGAAGACAGTAAAGATGCAGATGAGGCTGGTTCCAAATCAAGGCGAAAGCAACAGACCAAAATCAGCGACCACGTGGTTACTTCATTTATGGCTCCGAAGAACAAAATTGGCGACAAACGTGGGAAGAAGAAGTTCAATCTGTCCTCGACTGAAGAAGATGACAAACAGAAAGATGGGAGGGAGTCGGAGTTGTCGGAGGACAATGACACTGGGTCACCTGACTTCAAGTGCAGAATCAGTGGGAGCAGAAAGAGAGGCAGGCCAGAGCAGGCATCGAAGAGTGACCAGTCGGAGGATGAAGATGACAGAAAGGTGAAAAAAAGGCCCTGTTCTATTGCCGTTTTTCCACCACCGCCGACTAAAATAGATTTTCTCCGAGAAATTTTAATTTTACAAAATTAAAATTAGTATGTATGAAGAGCAAAAATCTTTGAATTAGTTAGTTAGCATGCTATCTAAATTTCAAATTAATCAAGCGCATGGGCTCTTTTTCCACAGCTTCGCCTCTGTTTAAATTCATATGTTTGCGTCTCCGGCAAAAGGTGGTTGAAGGTGTTCGGAGGTGATTTATTTTTTTCTTGAAAATTGAAATTATTTTGTAACTAGAAAAATAATTTTCAAAAAAACTTTTTTTTCTGTCAGTTATTTGTTGACACTATTTTACGCTTGTGATTAGCAAGCGTTATCGAATCGGAATATAGCCTTTTTTCGGGCTAGCAACTAGCCTAACAAAATCACTGAATCATTTGTGCAGCGTTCAATTCTGCAGCAAACATGAGCAATTTTCTTGAAAGTTCAAATTTAGCTACTGGTTACGAAAATTAGTTGACGGCGAAAGGTCTTGGCTCGAATCCGGTGAGCACCTGTTTTTTAAGCTCAAAGTATTTCGTATCAAAAAATTTATTGTCCTATCAGTTGTCTGCTTACGTTTTGTCGGCTAAGTTCCCACATTTCTTACCTTTCTTGTGCTGTAAGCTAATTTTATTGCAAATGAAAGTTTCTTTGATTCTTTTATTACCCTTGCGATAAGCAAGGGTATTGCAATCGGGTACTAGACTTTTTTCCCGTAAATAACTTGTTCACAGAATGGTCAAAATTAGAAATAAATAATTTAGGTTCAGTTCATAGTAGATTCAAGTTTCTTTGCGTTTCAAAAAAAGTGTCGGCTTATGATTTGCCTACTTGTATTTTGTCGATTTAGTTGCCACATCGGAAAATTGTTTTTTTTTATATACGAATTTTACATATTCCTTGCTCTTAGTGTTTAGATTTACTTCGGCTGTTTGTAATTTCTTGACTTAGTCTTTTTTCGATAAGAAATTTTTTCTGCCCAAATGATTTAGGCTTGTAATTTATCGTCTTAGTGACCTAATGTTGAGTCGTTTCACATGAAACGTAGCTTCAATGCTCACATCTGATTCGCGCAAATTGCTAAAATCTTAAGAGAAAGTTTCAAGTAGTTTTTCATGCCATCATTTTTTCTTTTTTTTTCTTTTTTTTTCTTTTCCTTTTTTTGACTTGATTGTTTTCAGCCTATTTTATATCAGTTTGATGGACTCGTTTTGCGTCGTTCTAAGAGCGAAAAATTGTGTGCGCGTGTGTGTTATGGGATTTAGGGCGACTCAATAGTTTTTCATTAGTCTTAAATTTTTTGGAATTGTTTTTCGGTTTTTCTGGTTTTTTTTACTTAATAGCTTTTGCCTTATATTACATCGTCCAGTTGCCTCATTTTGCTTCATTTAACAAGCAAATAAATTTTTGTTTTTTCAGGGCAAGGACGATTTGTTAACTTTTATTATAAATAGTCTTGCTAATTTTTTTTCGACATAAAGGGTTTCTAGTAATTGGTAAATATTTTTCCAATGCTAATTTCGTATTCTTCTGTTTTAGCATGGTTTTGTTTCAAAGTAGCCTGAATCATTTGGATAGATCTAGTTTTTTTTCACATTTTCGATTTTATTTCTCGACTTTTTTCCGACTTAGCGGTTTTTTGGTTTGTATCGCAAGTGGCGCGAAGCGCAGCCTCGCCTCTGGGTCAATTAACGGTTGACTCTGTTTTAGGAATATATCGAGCAAAGCTAGCTTAGGAACAAAGCGAGTATCAGTTTTTCAGTAAAAATTCTTAAATTTGTTCACGCTCAAATTTGATTGTTCGCGGTTTGATTTTTGATTTCCGAAGTTCGATTCATTTCTTTTGTTGAAAGGAAGGAAACCTCCACTATCAAACAGTAATAGTGTGAAGGTCACGATTAACGTTATCGACTTCTAATTTCGAAAGTAGAATTCATTTACAGATTTCTCAGCGGAAAAAATACCTATTGGCCCAGTTCTCTCAAATTGGTATAATTTATCAAAAAATGTCAATTAAATTAATCTTGAAATTCTAAGAGCTTAAAAGTCATATATTTTTTGTCTGTTAAATTTGAAGTTTTTTCAAAAAGCAAGTTAGTTTTTTTCCATTTCTTTGCGTTCATGACTCTTTAGCAACTTTCTGTTGGATATGTCTTAGAATGCTCATCAAAATAAAAGTACTTCGTTATCCGTTTTTTTTTAAATAAGTGAACTTCTAGTCGAGAAGCTTTAACGCGAGAAGCTTGAAGTCGAGGAGCTTTAATGCCTTAAACTTGAAATTTTCTGCCCGAAAATTAGGTGCCATTTTTCGGTTTTCATGTTCATTGGAACTGTTCTTACTGTCCGTTTTCAATGTTTTATTAGCCAGTTTTTTCACCTTTGCATTAGTTTTCGAAAGACAATGAAGTATCTGGTTGAACTTCTAAGACCACTACGGTGATGTCATCTTTCTATGAGTTCCAAGAGAAGTGAAAAAAAGGAATTATTCAATATTCAATTTCAGAGATAGGAAATCAGTTTGTTTTCTCCTTTTTCTGTTCATAATTAGCTATGTTTGTCTACATTGAGATAATTGGTTTCCTTTCTTCAAAGAAAAGTACAATAAAGATGGTAATTTTTTTAGGTGTACTTTACCCGAACGCGAAACAGTTCGAAGACAAAACTATCAAGGTTCAAATCTCCCACACGAAGCCCAAATACTGAAGAGGACAATGAGAAAGAAAACGAGCAACTGAGCGGCCAATTGAGTAATTCTCCATCATCGAACAAAAGAACACCCAGTGTGTCGAGAAATGGTTCACGAGGGACTCCTGCGAACACACCCAAGAAGGACGAAGAGAATCAGAAGACGGGTAGACAGGAAGATGAAGGCAAGGAAGGGCAATCGAAAACAAGACCGAGCAGGCTTCAAACCAATTCAAGGAATACTGAAAGCGAAAAAGATCACAAGTCAACAACAAGCTCGACTTCAAAGTCGGAAACAAAACATTTGATGCCAGATAAAAAGCAATCTAAATTGACCAACATGTTATCCGGAAAAAGTGGTAGAAACACTAGAACTTCAGCACTCATGATTTCAAGCTCTGCAGTCGTTGAACCTGAGCTATTGGCGAAGAAAGCTCAACAACTTACTCCCAAAGACTTTCAGAAGAGCGGATCAAAGAAAAGCGAAGTACCGATTACAGGAAAACGAGTTACAAGAACACGAGGAGTTGTCTCTGAATACGATGAATCAGATACTTCAAAAGCAAGTCAGTCAACGCCGAAGAACAAAGCCAGAAAAATTCAAAAACTCGATAGCACACCGTCTAGTGATGTTAATTCACCCGCGTCTCTGATCGAAACCGGGACACCCTCGAACCGAACCAGGAACAGGATGAAGTCTGTAGCCGCCATTTAATTGATGGTTGAACGCACTTCGGTGTAGAAAACTTGCAGAAATTTCAACTACTTAATATTATCTTAGTCCAATTTGTTTGTGCGTTTTGCGTTTTTTGATATATCAAGGTTTTGATTTATAAAAATTGTGAACTTTTGTATGCTTTCATTTTCGATATATTTTTGTGTGCCTTATGATCTATAATATTAGAATTTGAATTTGTTCATTTCACCACGAGAATAATTTCCATGACTACAAGATTGGATATTTCACGCTTTTTCCTTAGTTTGATATTAACTATAAGGTGAGCATTCCTGTAGGCAACGATCACATAATTTCGAGAACAGTCATTTTTTCAACAGAAAATCAAATTTCAAAGTAATTGAAGATGTACAGATGAGAATTCATATGCGCTGATGATTGAGTTGATTGATTCCTTGTGGCGGGAAAATGAAAAGTCAGAAAACCAAGCAACCATTGATTCTTTAATTCAGTGACATGCAATTGCTCGATTTTTACCTTTTTACTCTCACTGTGTATGTGTGTGTGTGTGTGTGGGGGGGGGGGGGGCTACGTCAAATCCTACTAGAAAGGTTAAGACTGCGCTAAAAGTAGTCACCATTAGTGCAGGCGTAACTAATGCCTTATTAGCCTCTTATGATGTCAAGCTGGTAGCTTATTATTCCTAATTGCTTTTGTGAACTTTTATTGAGTACCACTCAGGTACATAGTATCATTACTCGAATGGATATCAATCCTTTCTCATTTTCTCTGAGTTTACCGAACGGGTTTCCTCTAAACGTTTGCTCAGATCTATCTATATTAATCAAGAGTAAAAAGGTAGTAACCGAGCAATTGCAGGTCACTGAATTAAAGGGTTAGGCACTGGGTTAAGCATCAACAAATTGTAACTTATTTACCGTTATCAAAACATTGTTTTTCACCTAGTTTGCACTTGTACTTATTAAGTAAAGAGTTAAGCTTCAAAGTGATTGTGAGTTTTGAACATAGTTCAGTCTCTTAAATAGGTCTTGATGTGTTTTTTGTTTGTTTTTTCAGGAAAAATTTTTCACTCTCACATTTGATTTTCCACTGTTTGTCTTTGATAACTTTTTAACTTTAGCTTATTTCTTTAGTGAAAAGGAAGGCAACTCGACTATCAAACATCAAAAGTTTAAAGGTCATGAAAAACGTGGTTGACTTTAAGTTTCTTAAGTGGATTTTACATTTCAATTTTCCCAGCAAAATAAAGAATTTACTTGATAATCCAGTTTTCTTAAATTGGGTTAATGTTGTCAAAGAAGTGTCAACCGCTATTTGTTCTGGAAATTCAAAGAATTTGTAGGCGATCTATGTTTTTTGCGAAATTCGAAGGTGCGTCTTTAAAAGCAATCTAAATTGACCAACATGTTATCCGGAAAAAGTGGTAGAAACACTAGAACTTCAGCACTCATGATTTCAAGCTCTGCAGTCGTTGAACCTGAGCTATTGGCGAAGAAAGCTCAACAACTTACTCCCAAAGACTTTCAGAAGAGCGGATCAAAGAAAAGCGAAGTACCGATTACAGGAAAACGAGTTACAAGAACACGAGAAGTTGTCTCTGAATACGATGAATCAGATACTTCAAAAGCAAGTCAGTCAACGCCGAAGAACAAAGCCAGAAAAATTCAAAAACTCGATAGCACACCGTCTAGTGATGTTAATTCACCCGCGTCTCTGATCGAAACCGGGACACCCTCGAACCGAACCAGGAACAGGATGAAGTCTGTAGCCGCCATTTAATTGATGGTTGAACGCACTTCGGTGTAGAAAACTTGCAGAAATTTCAACTACTTAATATTATCTTAGTCCAATTTGTTTGTGCGTTTTGCGTTTTTTGATATATCAAGGTTTTGATTTATAAAAATTGTGAACTTTTGTATGCTTTCATTTTCGATATATTTTTGTGTGCCTTATGATCTATAATATTAGAATTTGAATTTGTTCATTTCACCACGAGAATAATTTCCATGACTACAAGATTGGATATTTCACGCTTTTTCCTTAGTTTGATATTAACTATAAGTTGAGCATTCCTGTAGGCAACGATCACATAATTTCGAGAACAGTCATTTTTTCAACAGAAAATCAAATTTCAAAGTAATTGAAGATGTACAGATGAGAATTCATATGCGCTGATGATTGAGTTGATTGATTCCTTGTGGCGGGAAAATGAAAAGTCAGAAAACCAAGCAACCATTGATTCTTTAATTCAGTGACATGCAATTGCTCGATTTTTACCTTTTTACTCTCACTGTGTATGTGTGTGTGTGTGTGTGTGGGGGGGGGGGGGGGGCTACGTCAAATCCTACTAGAAAGGTTAAGACTGCGCTAAAAGTAGTCACCATTAGTGCAGGCGTAACTAATGCCTTATTAGCCTCTTATGATGTCAAGCTGGTAGCTTATTATTCCTAATTGCTTTTGTGAACTTTTATTGAGTACCACTCAGGTACATAGTATCATTACTCGAATGGATATCAATCCTTTCTCATTTTCTCTGAGTTTACCGAACGGGTTTCCTCTAAACGTTTGCTCAGATCTATCTATATTAATCAAGAGTAAAAAGGTAGTAACCGAGCAATTGCAGGTCACTGAATTAAAGGGTTAGGCACTGGGTTAAGCATCAACAAATTGTAACTTATTTACCGTTATCAAAACATTGTTTTTCACCTAGTTTGCACTTGTACTTATTAAGTAAAGAGTTAAGCTTCAAAGTGATTGTGAGTTTTGAACATAGTTCAGTCTCTTAAATAGGTCTTGATGTGTTTTTTGTTTGTTTTTTCAGGAAAAATTTTTCACTCTCACATTTGATTTTCCACTGTTTGTCTTTGATAACTTTTTAACTTTAGCTTATTTCTTTAGTGAAAAGGAAGGCAACTCGACTATCAAACATCAAAAGTTTAAAGGTCATGAAAAACGTGGTTGACTTTAAGTTTCTTAAGTGGATTTTACATTTCAATTTTCCCAGCAAAATAAAGAATTTACTTGATAATCCAGTTTTCTTAAATTGGGTTAATGTTGTCAAAGAAGTGTCAACCGCTATTTGTTCTGGAAATTCAAAGAATTTGTAGGCGATCTATGTTTTTTGCGAAATTCGAAGGTGCGTCTTTATTTTTAGTCATTTTTTCCATTCATTGTGTTCATTGACTCAGTTCAACTGTTTATTGGCTATGTTTTAAATTCTTATTGCGCCTAGAATGGAATTACGACATTTATCATGATATGTCTGGTCCCCCCTCCCGACGATTATACGTAGCTTAGATCATTAGGTGATTAGTGTATTAGTACGAACCTTCTTTTTTCTAACCTAACTCGCAAACAAAAGTGTTCATCAATAATGTTCGTTTATTTGGGCGCACTTTTGTTATAATTACGAGCTGTAACATAGGAAATTTCAAAGAATCTGTTCTCTGCCTTATTTGTAGCTAGTGTTTGTGAATTATAAAGCGTCCGTTGCTTGAGACTCATAATCTCCTGGTCGCACATCGATCCGATACGTTACCGATTTTTTTCGAAATCGAGGCTTATTTCACTTTTTATTATTGCACTTTATAGAGCTGCTTTTTCGACGTTTTCTCGCTTTTGTTTTTTTTTTGTCTTTTTCTCGCTATTGTTTTTCGCTATTGTTCGCTTCTGTGTAGAAAATATTATATTAAGATTCGGTGAACGTAGTGTAGATTCTTATATAGGTCGCGCGATACTTTTTGTCAGGAAAATTCTTAAAATTTGTCTGGCTCAAATTTACTTTTTTGCGGTTTGACTTTGATTTCTTTGAAGGTTTTGATTAAGAGCTTTAAGGTATCTAGTGTTTTCTTAGAAATTCGAAAGTTGAGATTTTAAAGCATGTCAGTATGTATTTTTTTTCTGTTTACTTGCGTTCATTGACTCTTTTCCAACTGTTTGTTGGCTATGTTTTCATAGCTGTCACGTGATAGATTTGTCTTTCTAAAGTTTTTCCGTTGTTTTGTAGGGGAAAATTGGTTTGGATTTCGAGTTTTCATTGTAAATTTCCGTCAAGTGTCGATGAAAATTAAACAAACGCTTTTCAAAATTACGGTTAAAACGATAGTTACGATTCATCACCCATCAAAAGACGGTTTAAGCAACTGTGGCTACGCCGCTTGTCATGATTAAAAGTGAATAAGTGAATTGAATATCCAGATGTGAAATGACTTTATCGGCGATTGTTTTCGTCGGTCTCGTTGACCTCTCCATTCAATGGGTCTGTTTCGTCTTCTCAGCCTTACTTCGTACAGAGAAGTTCTTCGATCTAGTGGGAGGATCCTCTTTCATCATCTGTGTCAGTTTGTCTTTTCACTACAATGACCGATGGAATGACAAAATAGCCCTGATCCAGTACTGCTTTGTAGTTCTTTGGGCTATGAGGCTGGGTATGTTTCTGGTTTATCGAATCTGGAGAGATGGAAAAGACAGACGCTTTGATGACATTAAATCCAGCATCCCGAAGTTGTTCATAACTTGGAACTTCCAGGCAGTCTGGGTGTTCTTGACACTTCTCCCTACACTTTGGATGTTCGAATGGAGCAATTTCAAGAACAAAGAGCCGTCAATGGGACAGTACATCGGATGGTCAGTATGGATGTTTGGGTTCGCTTTTGAGACGATCTCAGATCACCAGAAACTAATATTCAAAGAGAAACCGGAAAATGCGCGCAAGTTTATCAAACATGGATTGTGGAGTATTTCCCGACATCCAAACTACTTCGGCGAAATCGCCCTTTGGTGGGGACTGTTCATTGCGGCCGTGGGAACCTTTGATGATCCGAGTTGGACTCTGTATACTGTAATAGGACCTCTTTTCGTCACATTCTTGCTCGGATTTTTCTCACTGCGAATGTTGGAACAGAGCTCAGATGAAAAATATGGGCAGAATGCACAGTACAGTGAATACAAACAGAAAACCAACATTTTGATTCCATTCATTTTGTAGATGAGATAATTTGAGAAGGAAAAAATGTGTTTATTTTTCAAACTCACTAATTTAGTGTTGATTTTGTTTTAGTTTATGTAATTGTTAACAACAAATAGAAAACTACCAGTGTTTATGAGCAATACTTCTTAGTTTTACAAAAATATTATTGAAGTAGAAAATATTAACAATTATTCTTCAGTTTTATCCGAAATCAAAAGGTGAAGATTCGCCTAAAACTTTCTACAGTCGTGGTTCACGCTCAATTTGAGTTTTTCTCGGCATGACTTTTGATTTTAATTCCAATCCAATTTCATTCGCTAAAAAAAAGGTAATACGGTCTCCAATGAAGTTCAAATTACTTCTAGTTAAAAATATGAAGAGATAAAACCAGTGTTTTTAACTCATAAATCTATCTATCCCAAAATCAGGTGGGTAGCTAAAGCTGTCTGTAGCCTTCAAAAATTGAAATATTACAATTAGATATCGATTTTGGAAGATATAAAAAATTTTCTGCACCATTGATTAAAATTTGAAGATAAGATATTTGTCTAATGGGTTTTTGTCTACAGATTTAGCCTGAAACTGCTATAATCTCGGTTTTATCGATGAATAGAAAACCGCTTTCGCTTAACACGATGTTCTGTGAAATGATACCAGTCTTCAGGTGAGAGATGAAATGCTGAGGTTGAAAAGCAGAGCTCAAAACTAGACTTATGGTGATATGATTTTTTTCTCTATTTTTTTTTCGAAATTTAGTTTTTATTTGTATCCGCTTCTGTTGTTTTCTTGTCAGATCTGCTTACGAATTTGCGAGAGGTTCTAAAATTGCCGTTGTCATCTAAGCATATCGCAAATAGTGCTTTTGTTGCTTTTTAGAGTAAACATGGAAACGAAAATTTTACAAATTAAAAAAGTTTTCCCCAATTTTAAAATTAATTACCATTGATTATCTGCTTATGTTTAATAGGCTTAGGTAACGCAATACGAATTTTTTTTGTGCTGTAGGCTCCTCACTGATTGCAAGTATTGTTGATTTTTCCATGTACTTAAATATTTACTAACCCTGGCTGATTTTCATTTTTTTTCACAACAAAGTTTTACTCGGCTCTAGATGGTTTCGGCTTATATTGTATCGGCTTAGTCTAATTATTTAGTGTCGTTTGAAGTGCAAAAATTGATTGTTGTTAATTAATTCAGGTCGGTTGCTGCAAAAGTTCTAAGTCTTGAAACTTAGTCGCTCAAACTATTTTTGACCACAATTTTTTTATGTTTTTTTTTTTTTTTCATTTTTGACTTTATTTTTGATGGCATAATGGCCGCTCAAAAACTAGTATAAACGTTTTTTTTTAAGCCGGTATTTGTGTTTCCAGCTGTTTTATGTTGGAATTGAGTTTTTCTTCATTCCAGAAAAATCAACTTTCAAATTGACTTAGTTGTTTCCGTCTCTGTTAGCTAGCTTGCAATGCTTTTATTGCGTTGTACCGCAATTGAGGCGCCTCAACTTTGTTGGTTTGGATAAGTAGCCATTTCTTACTTTTTTGGCGTTTTTCTGAATTGGTTAATTTGTAACCAGATTTTATCTAGAGATTTAAGCAGTTTTGACAGTTGGTATGCTGGTATCTTATTTGCGAAATTTTTGCGAGTATTGCCATGCAAAGGCGAATATAACTTTTTCAATAGACTTGAAGATAAACATTCAGATAGAAAACGCTCTTAGAGGCGCTTTGAAATTTATTTTTTGGTTGATGATTTTCAGGAAACAATTTCCAGGTTCAACAAGGATAGCCGGTTACTGTGCAAATTGCACAGAATGTTCTGACCATCTATATCTATCTATCTATATCTATCTATCTATCTATCTATATCTATCTATCTATCTATACTATATTTAAATGCGAGTGACAGCTATCTCCCATGTTTAAGCATAATAATTGTGCATGTTTAACGAAAGAATTTTTCATGTTTAAGCTATAGCATATATTGCATTGCTTAAGTAAATTTTTCAATTAGTTTTCCGCAAGGTCAATAATTTTCAGTAATTTTTTTTTCGAGGGCAAATTAAGTCTGTCTGTCTGTTTACCTCCTTTTTCATTTAATTTGATTATGTCTGTCTACTCGTCTCCTAGTTTTTTAACTTTCAATTTGGTTTCGACGATTCAGTTCAAAATAACAATACTGTCAAACGGTTGTCGCCAATTCTTCCTCTTAATCTTTATCTGGATTTTCGATCTTTTTCTTCTATCTTTTTTTCTAATTTTTTTCGATCCTTCTTTTGCGATCTTTTTTTCTATCTTTCTTTTTATTTTTCAATCTTTCATTTCTGATCTTTCTTTTTCGATTTTTTTTTTCATCTTTTTCTATCTTTGTTTTAATCCTTTTTCGATCTTTTTTTCAATCTTTTTTTTTCAATCTTTTCGATCCTTCTTTTGCGATCTTTTTTTCATCTTTCTTTTTCTTTCTTTTTATCTTTCTTTTTCGATCTTTTGTTTTTTTCTATCTTTTTTCGATCCTTCTTTTTCGAGCCTTTTTCTATCTTTTTTTTTCGATCTTTCGCTTTTTATTTTTCAATCTTTCATTTTTGATCCTTCTTTTTCGATCTTTTTTTCATCTTTTTCTATCTTTGTTTTAATCCTTTTTCGATCTTTTTTTAATCTTTTTTTTTTCAATCTTTTCGATCCTTCTTTTTCGATCTTTTTTTCGTCTTTCTTTTTCGATCTTTTGTTTTTTTTTTGATCTTTTTTCGATCTTTTTTCTGTTTTTTTCTAATTTTTTTTCAATCCTTGTTTTGAGATCTTTTTTTCGATCCTCTTTCTAATCTCGTTTTTCGATTCTTCTTTTTCGATCTTTTTTCTTATCTTTTTTTCAATCTTATCGATCATTCTTTTTCGAGCCCTCTTTTTCTATCTTTTTTTCATCTTTATCTTTTTTCGATCTTTTGTTCTCTTTTTTTTGCGATTTTTTTTCTGTCTTTTCTTATTTTATGTTTTTTATTCTCCTTTTTCTTAAATTTCTTCAATACTTTTTCGATTTCTTTTTCAATCCTTCTTTTCGCTCTTTCTTTTTTTTTTTAATTTTTTTTTCTAAATTAAAACTTAATTTTTGATGTAATTTTTGTTTCCAAAATTTGAGATGTCTTACCTTTTAATTGGGTGCTGTCAGGGTACTCTCATGAGTGGCGAATCTTGCCTCCAAATAGGACTGCTCAAATCTTTGTAGTTTTCGAGATATGACGTTTTTTTTATGATTTTTCAAAAAAATTTCAGAAAACGTAACAAATTTTTTTCTTCAAAGTTTGAAATTCCCAACTCTGTTGTTGGGGTTATCAGAGAACTCTCGGGGGTTGCGCTCCAATTATGACTGCTCACATTTTTATAGTTTTCGAGATATGACGCTTTTTGTGATTTTTTCAAAATATTTTCCAAAAAACGAATTAATTTTTGTTTTCGAAATTCCTTACCATGTAGTTGTATGCTGTGAAGGTACTTTCAGTGGTTGCGAATCTTGCCTCCAAATATGACTGCTGAAATCCTTGTAGTGTTCGAGATATGACGTTTCTGATTTTTCGAATGAATTTCAGAAAATTTAAAGGAAATTTTTTTCTTAAAAATTTGAAATTCCTTTCTTAAAAATTTGAAATTCCTTATGTAATTGGGTGCTGTCAGAGTACACTAAAAGCCTGCAGATCTGGTTTCCACTATATGCGGTTTTTCGTGAGTTTTCAAAAGTTCGAAGCACCGGTGGTGTGTTATACGCTAGTATTCTTTAAAAACTACAAGAAAAAGTGTAGTTTTCAAATTAGTGTAGTTTTTTTTCCGCGCGGTGTGATAGACGGATCTGACGATAAACTATGATGTAAACTATAATGTAGGCTTAATCGAGTTTTTTTTTTGAATTTCGCTTCCTAAAATGGCATTAAAAATCTCGAAAAACTATTTTTCCTCGATGAAAATTATATTAAGCATAAATAAGCTATTGTTAACTGCTTAAACTACCCATAAATAAGCCTGCTCGCTGGCATTTGTTGCTTGAATTCGACAAAAAAATCAAAAATTTCAAATCGGTTTTTCTCGATACTAGAAAAAAATTCTGCGAAATTTTTAACGTGGTTCAAATCACGACTGAAAAGGCCTTAATATGATATATCACTCAACCCAGTCTGATGATTCTTTGTGGTACCTGATATTGCTTGGAAAAAAACTGAAACACCCGAAAACAAAGTTCCTCCCTATTTTCTCAATGGTCGGAACAATAATCTGTTTTATGCACCGTAGGTGCGAATGACTCAAAAACATACGCCTTCCTGACTAAGGTATGTATGAAAGCAATCTAAGGAACGGTGACATAGATAAGCAAATAAGGCAAATGACTCTTGTCCATAGGTCTGGATTCGTTGTCAAGCTTTTTAAAGTTTTGAAGTTAAAGGTCCCATTTTTTGATATTTTGCCATTTTGGAACTTTTTTATACAGCTTGTGTTTAATGTATCTGTGTAAAAGGGCTATTATGAATCAGTTTTTATTTTTTTTTATATAAAACTTTCCTGAATTATTTCCGCCTTGTGTAACTTCGGCTCACATTTTACCAAATTTATAACTTTCACATTAATGCTTGCATCGGTTTCCAGCAAGTACGTTATCTAATTTGATTTTTTGTCTCATCAATGGCCTTTTTGAAATAAAATTTTTGTGTCTCGAAGTTTTATTTTAGTTTGTTTCGCCTCAATGATTTCAGAATTCTAACACTTGCAACAGTTAAAGTATTGCAAACGTGTACAAGACTTTTCCCTGTAAATAATACTATTCGCAGGATATGAGTTTTTATGGTGGTGCTGAACAAACCTGTACTTTTGACAACTAATAGACAAATTTTGAGCATGTCTTCATTTTCATTTAATTTTGACTTAGCGGCTTTTTTGTACAATGCTGATTCAAATTATTCAAAAAAAAAAATTGAAATCTTGAAAGCGTTTTTTTTTTAAAAAACTTGAGTTGACTTAAAGTGAAAAATGATGAAGACAAAACTTTATAACACTCGCGAAAAGAGAGAGAAAACTTCGCCTGGATTGCAGTGATTTTTTTTTATTTATGACTTTTTTCCGGTTAACAACTTCTTTTTCTCAAAAATAATCAATTGATGGCTTGATTTACGACGAATTCTTTTTTCCACCACATTTGGCCTAAGATTAACGACTACACCTGATATGCCAAAGGTTCGAATCGGGCTAGGACCTGTTTTTTTAACTGAAAATTTTTTGCAGGTCTTAATCTGCATGTTTGACCTGGAGATAATGCCAATGCCTGAAATTTTTGAGGACGTCCAATTCTGCACGTTCTGTCTGGAAGTAACGTCCATACTTGGCAATACAAAGGTCCAGGGTTTTAATACGGCCAGGTTCTGTCCATTTTGGAAACTGAATTTTTTAGTCGAAAAATAAATGTTGGCCCTTTTCTTATTTTTGCTAGCTTGTAGTCGCTGCAACACAAATTTTTCAGCTGGTTGAAGCAATTTTCACTTTAATTTCAAATCCTTTTGATAAGTTTGTGTAAAAATTTTGGCTTATTTTTTTGATAAAAATAGGATAATCGATTGCTTTAGATCTTTTTGTTCTCCTTCTCCTCGTCTCAGTCACAAGGAAAGAATAGTTAGAGTTTTGTTTTAAATTTTTACAATTGTTAACACTTGTTACAAGTGTATCAGTATGAACTTACGTTTTTTCACCTCAAGTCGCAAATATTGGTGCCACTTTTTTGGCATCTGTACAGCTGATTGATAGCAAGTGCTTTGACATTCGAATAGTAATAAGTTAACTCAGTTGATGTCGTTTTAATTCATCAAATGAACCGAAAAAAGCTAATGGTTTCAAACAACATAACAAATAATAAAAACTCGATTTCGGAAATTTTCTATCTTAATATATCTAGCAATTAATGTGGCTCTATGCGTTGCGATTTATTACATGCAAAATTGTGTCTTTTTGTATTTGCTGCTTTTGCTGCATCAAATTGGCAATGTATTAGCATATGTAGCTGCGTTATTGGTTGCTAGTTTTTTGGGAATTAAAGCATTCGTGGTCAGTGCGTCAGACTCAATTTTGCTAGGTCGCAGATTCGAATTCGACACTTTGCCGAGTTTTTGCTTATTCGAAGTTTATTTCTACTTTTTGTTATGTCACTTGATAGAGCAGCTTTTTGGTCTTGTTTTCGCTAGTGTTTGCGAAGTGCAGCTTGGCCTCTGTGTAGTATAAATAGTTTTGAAACGGTTGTTAATTGCGAAAAAAACTTTGAAATCTTAACTTCCAACACACTTAAGGTTTCGTAACTTTTATAAGCAAATCTGAAGTGATTCAAATCTCCGCTTCGCTTCTGTTAAACATTTGCTTTGCCAACGTGCAATAATTAGCGCGAATTCGTTTTTCTTGTTGCAACATAATGTTTTGTAGCGTTTTTAATTTTAATTGATAAATGCATTTTGTATTCAGTTGTTAAAACTTCAATAGTTATTAGAAAAATTGGGTTCCACTTTCCAAAATTTTTTTTTTCAAACTAAAACTCTTGCAAAGACCCTGATTTATGGAAAAACACCACCACCATGTTACAGAAGAAGTACTAAGTTTATTCTCAGGAGTTCTATTTGAGAATTGTAGTTCACGCTTGCATAAGACAGCGTTTTGGACGAACCATAAAAAGACTGGAATAAATCAGGGTGTATAACTGACTAGCTTTGACATCAGGATGATGACAATATTATCACAAATGGTTTATTTTTTTGCTTTTTGTTATGAACACGTACTATTTGCTCGTGGTTAAATGAAATATTATTACTCGATAGCTCTTTTGCTATCTCCCGATACGTGAAATTTTAAGCTGAAATTTTTGTGCCTTTTGTTTGAGTGCACTTAAATTTGGCATATGGACTAATTATCCAAACCCAAGTTTTTTGATCGGCAGACACAACCTTGTGGCATTACTGGTTGTATCATAAAATTGGTGTTCATGCAATGGGAGAAGGTAAAGCTCCCATTTGTTCCGATTACAAATGATACGAGTTTACGCTTCGCCTCTTCTTTATAATGGATCATATGGAAAAGATAGCTCCGTTTCCATATGATGCAATCTTTCCCTGAAGGTAGGTCACATAGAATAGGTAATGTTATGCTGTCTGGAATTACAATGGACAGCTGTTTAGAAAGCGTAAAACGGTAATGCAAACTGAGCAAAAAGTGCTCAATTCTGTTCTCTTGATCCTTTGACAAGTTATAGTATGATTTGTAACAGCTTGAATCATTTTACAGAGCGTTTAGGACATCCAAATGCATCAAAAATTTAAATTAGGCGAAACTGGAATTGAACTTCAGGCTTCTATTCTTTTTCGATGCTGGCGTAATGTACTTTAAAAAAGTACAGCAGAGTGACTCTATATAAAACGTTGTCGGTTGAGTATTGAGTATTATAAATCGGAATTAAAGGGAAAATTCTGGGCAAACAGCTCTTCAAAACAGCATGGAGGATCTTCAACAACCTTCATTTGATAAGATCTTTTTCGTATCATGATTTTGGAGTTGAAGATCAAGGTAAGTTTAATTTTCAGTTACAGAGTACATGTGAGTTTGTTTCGAATTTGAAATGGAACATTTTTCTGTGAGAAGATCTAAACGGGGTCCACAACCGAGAAAAGTAATTTACAATTGGACTAAATATAAAGGCATTGCAAATTTGGAGAGAGAGCGTGCAGAGATGAAACTCAAAAATGAAAAACTATCTGAAAATAAGGAAAACGATTCGAGTGAAGAGATGCAGTCAGGTCCAGTGAGTTCAAGTGGAAATGGGGGTGCGACCTCCGAAGCAGGAGCTAGTTGTTCTCTCACCCACCGAGTAAGACAGAAAAAGAAAGTTGAAAAAGATAAATTCATGAGACACATTGATCAAAATTACAGCTCCTCCTCTCACACTGCGTCTCAAAGTAATCAAAAGGTCAAGCAAAAGACTGGACCAAAATCAAAAAAGGAAGAAAGCAAAGAATCGGTTCTCAAAGCTGCCACAGATCAGTTCAGTGATGCTGTGTTTGACGCTGACCAAATGGAGAGCCATAAATGTCTGAATGCTGAAACATCTGACGAACTTGACTCTGGGTCGATCTGTTCCGCAAATCGGAATGATGAATCAAGTGAGGAGGAAGAAACGAAGCAAGTGAATTCAGAAAGCGAAGAAGCTGTCAACGATAGCTGTTCTGAACTTCCTATGTTGGAGCGAATTCGACGGAAAAACGTAGCAAGAAATGAGAAGTTTTTATTGGAATTTGAACTACAAGCCGGGTGTTCCGTTCTGCCTCCCAAGAAAACTAAAAAATACTACCCGAGAAAGGAAACCGAAGTGAACCTGGAACCGTCGCGGAAATCTGCAAGATGCCTTGGTATCGGTCTTGACAACGAAAACGTTAACCCTCTCTCTGGAGTAAAACGCCATCACATTGGTTTGAACAGCCGTTTGGAGACTTTTGCGCACCTTCACAAGGGAGAATTCATAATTCTGTCTGATCCAATAAACTACGGCAAGCTCAGAAGTAGTTTGAAAGAGGCGGCAAACAGCGAAATTAAAGCAGTTGGCGAAAGTGGAAAGTCTGTTTTGAATACAGACGAGACGTTGGAGAAACTGGCGAAGCTGGAGCTGAAACATGTTGGCAAGTGCTGTGATGCGCGAAGTTACGCTCTTCAGTTCCACCCAGGGAACAAATTGATTGTTACTACCGGTGACAAGTATGGCAATTTGTGCTTTTGGGATATAGATGAGGACGCAAAGCATTGTGACAGTGGCAAAGTGGTGCCAATTTTTCTGCGAGATCCGTTCCTGGAGCCAATCAGGTGCATGAAGTACTCGCGATTTGATTGGTCCAAATTGTACACGTGCAGTTATTGTGGCTTTTTGAATAGCTTCGATCTAAATACCGGCCAGTTTACAAGACTATGCCAAGAGGAAAGTGTCAAATATCCTTTTGACAGTATGCGCTCCTATTATGATAAACTTAACGGATTCTACTGGTTTGACCTACTGCATGATGAGAAGACAATTTGCGTGTCCGATCTAATAGGTCACATAATTTTAGTGGACCCTAGAAAGCGTGGTGTATTCCCACCCGCTTTCAGCAATCGAGGAATTGTTAACAATGATTACAAAGTCAAATGCGTCTCAGCTCATCCGTCCAAGCCTTACATCATATCATCCGATCAGGATTCACTTCGAATTTGGGATCTCAGAAACACAAACGAGCGTTGCATTGATGTGTTATGTCAAGCGGATACGGTAAACGGTGCTTTTTTTAGCCCTGTTACCGGCGATAAAATCTTAACAACTTGCTATGATAGTTACTTGCGCGTATTCGATTCGAAAAATCTCACAAAAAATTCCGTCAAAGCCACGGTGAATATAAGTCATCCAGTCCGTTAGTAGTATTGTAATACATCGCTGATGTTAAGGGGTCCCTATATTTTGGGAAAATCCTCAACGAATCGTCCTCAAATTTTGCAAGGACTTCTCACTTCAGGTTTAGAAGAAAGCATAGAGTCGTTAGTTTTAATGATGAGGAACTCAACTTAGGTTTTTTTTTGCGTCCAGTCGAATCAAATCCACTTTCGTCGATTTGATTCGTTTTAAAATTAGTCTAACTTATTTGAGTCTAAAATTTTCAACTTATTTGTTTCTACCCTGCCTTTCTAGGATTAAGGGTTCAGTCGAGAAACCCGATTGCAAGAACCCTCTATACATAAGTGGCTACGGCTTTTTTTTTGAAAAAAAGTTTCGACCTTCAGAAAAGTCAAATTTTTGAAACTTCGACTGTACCGTTGTTTGAAAACTTTTTTGATTTTTCTCTGGCTAACTTGTCCTGGGGCGGTTTTTTTTTTGATGGGGGGGTGGGGTGGTGACGGACGTTTCCCCTTCAGGGATTCGACCCCATGCCGACCGAAAGGGTCCCCCTTTGTACTATTTTAATATATCCATTTTTGGCCGACTGATCTTAAAAATTTTCTAAAGGCGGCTTTCGTGCCAATTTTTATTTACTTTAGGGGGGAGCGCGCGCCGAAAAAACGCAATTTTCTGGTCGAAGTTTTCCAAAAAGAGCTTAAGTAAGCTCATTTTTCGAGTGCCAGCTATTTGGTTCCCGAGAATGAAGACATCTTCCTGGTGTGAAGTGTAAATGCATCGCACAAAGTAACCATTTATAACATTGGCAACGAGGATCTGAGTCCCGCTTTGGAACTGGTTGTCGACGATGACAAATATACTATTTGTTGTACTACTGCAATTCACCCCACTTATGTTATTGCTGGGTCCTCTTTTGCTGGAAGGTCATTCATTTGGCGCTAAGAACAGACGAAGTTCGAAACAATCATGATAGTTTTTGAGAAAGTCAAAAAGTTACAAAAACGGTCGCAAAAATAAAAAAATTCGATTTTTCAGATGGCTACAACTTAGTTTCTTTTTTTTGCGTGCAGTAAAACGCACTATTGTCGATCTGATTAGTTTTAAAATTAGTCTAATTTCAAATTATTTGTTTCTACCCTGCCTTTCTAGGATTAAGGGTTCAGTCGAAAAACCCGATTGAAAGAATCCTCTATACATAAGTGGCTACGGCTATTTTTTTTGAAAAAAAGTTTTGACCTTCAGAAAAGTCCAATTTTTGGAACTTCGACTGTACCGTTGTTTGGAAATTTTTTGATTTTTCTCCAACTAACCTGCCCTGGGGCGTTTTTTTTTGAGGGGGGGGGGGGGTGACGGACGTTTCCCCATCAGGGATTCGACTCCATGCCGACCCAAAGGGTCCCCCTTTGTACTATTTTAAGATATCCATTTTTGGCCGACTGATCTTAAAACTTTTCTAAAGGCGGCTTTGGTGCCAATGTTTTTTTTAATTTAGGGGGGAGCGCGCGCCAAAAAAATGCGATTTTTTTGTCGAATTTTTCCAAAAAGAGCTTAAATGAGCTCATTTTTTGGGTGCCAGCTATTTGGCACCCGAGAATGAAGACATCTTCCTGGTGGGAAGTGTAAATGCATCGCAGAAAGTAACCATTTATAACATTGGCAACGAGGATCTGAGTCCCGCGTTGGAACTGGTTGTCGACGATGACAAATATACTATTTGTTGTACTACTGCAATTCACCCCTCTTATGATGTTATTGCTGGTTCGTCTTTTGCTGGAAAGTCATCCATGTGGCGCCAAGAACAGACGAAGTTCGAAAAAGTTTTGACCTTCAGAGAAGTCAAATTTTTGAAACTTCGACTGTACCGTTGTTTGGAAACTTTTTTTTGATTTTTCTCTAGCTAACCTGCCCTGGGGCGTTTTTTTTTTTAAGTTTCGGGAGAACTCGATAAGTCAATTTAGCCGATCTAAAAATCGACTAAATTTTCGAAAAATTTAATTTTTTTGAAAATCCGCACCCCCCATCGAGAGAATCTTAGATCCGCCCCTGAACCTGCCAATTTTAAGTTTAGTGGATCAATCGAGATACCCGTTTGCGGAAATCATCTCTGCGATTTTGCCCTAATTTTTGTAGAAAAAAATTATTCTTTTAGGAAAAGTCAAATTTGTGAACTTGTGACCGTTTTTGGCATTTGTGGATTTTTTCGAAAACTACTAGAGCATTTCTAAAATAAATTGTTCAATCGAGATAACAGGCTGTGGACTTTTTTGCTGTTTAAGCATGTAGCTCTACTCTCGTTGGAAAAAGTTGTAGCCATCTGAAAATTCGAATTTTATTTTTGCGACCGTTTTTTGTAACTTTTTGACTTTTCTCAAAAACTACCATGCCAAATCTGAGATTTAGAGTTCAATCGAAAAAACAGATTATTGTATTTTTCCCTGCATAAATGGCCCTGCCGCTATGGATTCAAAGAAAATGTCGTGGGAGTCTTCCCTGCAAAAGCAGCTTCGCCCAATTTTTGACAGATTTAATAAAAAGATTTTTCACATCAGAATACTAAGGTAGGGGTCCTCCTATGTAAGGTCGGAGACTTTATATGTTTCTGCAAAATCCTTAGGAGAGAGTTGTTGTGAAATATGAGGACTCCTTTGTTAAGAATTTCTTTAACATAAGGGCCCTTAGAATCCACGATTTTTATAATACTACCTTTGAGATTCTAAAGGAAATGTAGGACCATTAAGAGCTATTTGGCACCCGAAAAATGAAGACATCTTCTTGGTGGGAAGTGTAAATGCATCGCAGAAAGTAACCATTTATAACATTGGCAACGAGGATCTGAGTCCCGCTTTGGAACTGGTTGTCGACGATGACAAATATACTATTTGTTGTACTACTGCAATTCACCCCACTCATGATGTTATTGCTGGGTCGTCTTTTGCTGGAAGGTCATTCGTTTGGCGCTAAGAACACACGAAATTCGAAACAAACTTGCAATTGAGTCTAAGCTCATTGAAACTATTCAATTTCTTTTTTTAAACTCTTGAAACTCAAAACTTTCATCTTACTTGATTTCGTATTTGATGCTAAACTGATTCTTGATTGTTTGTTGGATCTAAGCAGGTCTTAGTTGCTTTCAAACGTTATTTATATTTATTTTGTTGAAGAATAAATACTAAAGTTTTGTGTTCTCTGATTGATTTGATCTCATTGTATGCTACTATTTCAAAACATGAATGAAACCAATTTATTTCGATGATTCTCTCGAATGACAAAAAAGGACATTTGATGCAGACTGTTTTCATCCAAGGTTGTTCTACAGAGCTTACAGAGCTATTGAGTTCTAAGATTATAAAGTTTAATGGAACTAAAGATTCTGTTTGGGCCTCTTCACCATCTGGTTATAGTTTTGTGAGTTTTGTTCCGAGTGATAAAGGTAAGAAGGAACTTTCTTCGGGTGTGCTATTTCCAAAATCAGCTTCCACAAAGAATTTTGGTTTAAATTTAAGTGATGTTTCATCTTAAAGTCATTTCAGGCGTAATTTGAACTGCCATGAAAATTTCTGAAAACTCTTGACAAGTTTTTTCTAAAAAGCATTTTCTGCTGTTCAAACTAAAGCGCAACACGGGCTAATTGTGTATAAAAATACCGACACATATAACTTGTAGGTAGTTACCGCTAATATGACCGCATAAGCGGTTTCATTGCTCACGTGCATGATCTTTATAAAGCTGAGTTATCGAATTCTGATAGTTTTCCGATCGCCAACAAGCTGAGTTTCTTAAATAGTTTCAAAAGTTAAAAGTTTTTAGCATAGACAATAATGTCTTTTTAGCTGATCACTCGATAAGCTGAAATGCTTCTGGTTGGCCTCTCCACGCATTTGGTTAAGTTGTTTAGTACGGTTTGCTTTTTAAACAGTTGAATCTCTTTTCTCGATGATTCCAACTATTTTTACTTTTCATTTCACATTCGGGCAGCAGAGCTCAAGTTCATCACCTTTTTTGCTGTTTCTGGTTAAGCGGTTAAAAATTTAATTTATTTTTGTTAAGGTGAAATTTTCACAAGACGAACTTAACCCCCCAAATAATAGCAACCACGCCAGAAGTTTTTTTTTCTAGGTTCTGTGAAAAAATTGTTTTCTGCAAATCTTTCGTTTTTGAGCTTAAGGGGAATCAAAAAAATCCTGTGTGTACACAAGCGACGATTGATTGTGTCATCCGATTAATTCTTTTTTCTTAAATAACTTAATTTTCATCTTCCTGTGTTCAATACTTGTGCTCGTTTTCTTAATAAAAAAATGTTTTCATTTGGCGATTTTAGTAAGCATTAGCCTGACCACTTGATTAGAGCTCATTTTTGCAGCTTTCAGTGTATCTGATTTTAAAGGTCAATTCGGGATAGTGAATATTCGCGAAGTTGCCTCTTTTCAATTTGCGTAGTACAGGCGTTGAATTGACCGCTGTGTCATTTCATACTTTCAGGTGACGAATCGATGAGGTCAAAATTATCAGGGCGCTCAATTTTGGAGGTCGAACGACTAGCTGGAATAACTAGAAAAATCAAAGTACTTCATAGCTTATTGCTTACGTTGGTTTTTTCGATGCCTAACACATAATATACAATAAATGGTGAACTAATATTTCACGGATTAGTTCTGAAAATATGGATTTTGTATTCCCCGCAAAATTTATCCGTTCCTAAATAAAGATTCTAGCATCTTGGACAATTTCTTCATTGAAAATTTTATCATTTTTTATTTAAGTCACGATTCATTTCATAGTTGTTAAAAGATAGCTTGAACATTCAGAGCTTTGACATACTAGAAGTTTTTATATGCATAATTTTCAGTGTATGCTTTGTTATGGCGGCCCATTACGAATAATGTTTTGAAACTCAGACGACTGTTAAATAAAATTTGTAAAAAATTTTTACAAGTATTTAGATTCTTGCGCTTCAGCAAGTTAGTTAATAATCGAGAGTTATTTTATTAAAAAAAGTCATTGCAGTTTTGATTGAAATTTTGAAAATATCTTCAAATTTTCTAAATGGCGATAGAAACTCTTAAATAGTTTTGCAACCAATTTTAATGGTTTTACGCTTGCCAGAGCAAGTGACTTGTACTCGGGAACTAGGTTCTTTTTGTTGAGCAACTTTTGGAAACGTGTAAAAGTTAAAAGTTATTTCGACTGAAATGTCGACAACTTCACAAACATAATTTGAGCTTGCCTGCATTTTATATTCCCGTACTATTAAACACAAGCAAAGCTTGTGGAATAGTATGAACTCTCATTTTTTCAACTTAACTTGCAAATTTTCTTGCGACAAAATGTGTTTATTTTGAATTTTGAAAGTGTACTTTTTGATCGATAACCAGCTATTAAGTACCGCCAATGCTAAGGATATTAGGACAGACTATTATATTAAAAATAGCTTTATAGGTTCAAGGTATCATAGATCTGTAGCATAGCGGTAGAGAAGCCCGCAACAAAATAAGAGGGTTTGAACCTGCGCAGGGTCGGATATTTTTAATAAACTTTTTCGTATACTAGTTAAAATGTGTCCGCCTTATAAATTGAGGCATGTTAGTTGGTCATTTTTTTTAAATGCCTGGGTTTGCCAATGCGTCATAATTGACTTGCGTCACTTACAGATTTTTTGTAGACTCAAAATTTTACTCCTTCGATTTTTCCCAGTAGCGCTTTCAGCCATACTTTTGGTTGTGTATGCGAAGTGCACATTAGCCTCTAAGTCGAAAATTAAATGTGAGTTATACATTATTGGGTTTTTTCACTATGAGATTCCCTATTGTTTGGTTGACTAATAATTACTGGTTATCAACTGGTTAATTTGGCAGCCTTTCGATTACGAAACAGAAATAAGACAAACACCCCTGAAAAAATTGTCTGGTTGCTTGTAGAATTGATTCAAAGACCAAAAGTTAAGCTCTGTTTTGATGCTGCGATTTCATTGTTTTTTTGTGAAATTTCCATTTCACCCTTCTGTAAAATAATTGAAACTTTGACGAGTTTGATTCTCAAACGCATCGCAAGATGCAAGCGATTCGAAAGCTTAATGATCGGAATTTGAGCATTATAAATTTTGAAACGAGGCAAACTGCTTTTTAATCATATTGATTTTCGTTTATTTTGCTTTGAAGCCACGTGACACGATGTCAGCGACTGTCATCCACTTTTCAAAATTTGTGTTCTTTTTTTTGCGTTTTTCGTGCAGTTATTTTGAGTTGTGCCACTTATTTCAGATTTGTATGGAATACATGGCGGATAAGATCCACTCGACCGCTAATCAAGCTAAAGGTAAGATAAGAATGTTTGCGTAGTTTTTTGGTTTAGGGATTAATTGTTAATGAAACCAAGTTGATTTGACTCATTTATGTTGTGCTCTTTTTTACACTTGCGAGCATGCGAAGCGAAGTTTATTAGTACGAACGTTCTTTTTTTCCAAGCGTAGTCGCAAATTAAAGTGCTATTTTTGGTGGCACTTTTGAATCGGTAGGCTGCTGTAGCAGTATAATGGTATCTGAGCTTTGAAGTTTGATCAGTAGAACATTAACACAGTTGATGCATTTTTAATTCATCAAAAGAACTGAAAAGTTATTTGTTCCAAACAGTAGTTTTTTGAAATGCATAATTGATACCTTATTTGGCTTCATGCTTTCCAATTTATTAATTGCAAAATTGAGTCTTTTTGTGTTTGGTGCCTTCTTTGCTGCCACTTTATTGGTTACTAGTTTTATGTTATCTTAAGCGTCCGTGGCTGAGTGGTTTGTGCTTGAGCCAACTTAGGTTGCAGATCGAATCTCCGACACGTAGGCCGAATTTTTGCTAATTCGAGACTTATTTCTAATTTTTCATATTTCACTTGATAGAGCTGCTTTTTTGTCGTGTTCTCGCAGGTGTTTGCGAACCGTAGCTTCGCCTCTGTGTTTAACTTTCTTTCTTGAAGCTGGTTTTTCCATTTGATTTTTCAAAAGACGTCCAAATAACATTCTCCGTTGGCAAAACTGATTGGAAAAAAAAATTTTAAACAATGGAAAAATTGAATTAAACTTTTTTTCGCAAAAGGGGTTAATTTATCAAAAGGATCATGCCTAATTATAGAAGTATCCTGAAAGAGAGTTAAGTTGAGTTGAGGTTTCATAATTATTCTTTTTTTGTCCGCAGAGATAACTGCTAACCTTTGCTTAACAGTCTGTTGCCTTTTTATTGTTTAGCCTGCAAAAACGAAATTGGATTTTTTGATTTTTCTATAATGTTGCATATAAAAAATAAGAGTAACCACTCAGTGCAAGAAAATAAGAAAGGAAAGGAAATTTTGAGAATATAATTTTCCTAGTTTTCAGAAATGATAGACCATATCGTAAATGCTTATAAAACAGATTTATCCACAATGCCTTTAAATTAAAATTTTTGTGAAAAATGTTTTGGAAAATGTTGGCCAAAAAATCGCATTTTTTTCGGCGCGCGCTCCCCCTCGAAATTAGTATATATTGGCGCCAAAGGCGCCTTTAGAAAAATTTTATGGTCCGTCACCAAAAATGGATAGCTCAAAATAGTACAAAGGGTGACCCTTTGGGTCGGCAGGGGGTCGAATCCCAAGGGAAAGCGTCCGCCCCCTAGCCCCCCCCCGCTAAATCCGTCCCTGGGTTCTAGGTTCTACTCCAGGTAGCTTTAAAGACGCGAAAAAATTTTCGGATGTTGTTGTGAAAACAGAAATGATTGATTTAGACGATGATTCCTAGTAAGTCCAAAAAGGTGAGAGCGTGGTCTTAGATGAAGATCAGTTTGGGAGTCATTTTATGCTATCTTTTTTCTCTCATTTGCTCGTTTATTTCCCTGATTTCCCTTAGACATAATTAGTTAGCTAAATTTTGAAAATAAATAGCATCAGATTTTTTTTATTTGATACTTTTTAGCAGGGGCGGATCTAAGATTTTCTCGAGGATGGGGGGATTTTCAAAAAAGTTTCGAAACCTTGTTTTGACCAAATTTTCTGCACCGCAGGCAAATTTTTGAAGAAAAAAAACAGGCCAAAAACGGCGTTTTTAGGCATTTTTTGGAAAATTTTGACCAAAAATCGCGTTTTGTCGGCGCGTGCTCCCCCTTCAAAATTAGTATAAATTGGCGCCCAAGGAGCCAATAGAAAAATTTAAGGGTCCGTTCCCAAAAATGGATATCTCAAAGTAGTACAAAGGGGGGCACTTTGGGTTGGTAGGGGTATCCCTGAGTGGGAGAGGGGGCGTCCGCCCCCCTTAAAATCCGCCCCTGCTTTTTAGACACTGAAGACATCGGAGTAATTCTTCGATTCATGTCGTGGAACGTTGATCGTCTCACAGAGAAGCTCCTCGAATCCAGAATGGTCGCAATTCTCAACAAAATTAAACAACTCAAACCCGATGTTGTTTTTCTACAAGAGATAACCGACCCCGTTTTGATGTCCATTTACGACGTTTTTCTAGACGATTTCCTCGTGTACAAACCTGAAACGAATTACCATTACTTTGTAATTATGCTAGTCAGGCAGGCTACCTTTTCTAATGTGACTTTTGAGACTATAAGCTTCGAGAACTCAAAAATGGGGAGGAATTTTGTGCGTTGCAATGCAGAGTACCTGGGAATGCCATTAACGTTTCTCACAACTCATCTTGGTGAGTTTAGTTATGATCACGATTCCAACTTTTTTGATAATTAATGTTAGTTGTAGCCTTTTTCTTATTTTTCTATAACCTCTATTTCTTAGAATTTGGAACTAAGTCATTATAACTCTCCGAAAAGAATAACTTTTAGTCTTTAGACTAGCGAGCTTGCGAGTATAGTGTGTTAGTACGGACATTCATTTTTGTAAACCAACTCGCAAATAAAAATGCTCTTTTTGTGGCAGTTTTGCTATAATATCAATCTGTAGCCTCGGAAATTTCGTTTTATTTGTGACTAGTGTTAGTGGATTGTGAAGTGTCCTTGGCTGAGTGGTTAGTGCGTGCACAATATCTAGGCCGTAGCATGTAATCCGAAACGTACCCGATTTTTTAATAATTCGAGGCTTAATACTATTTTTTCTTAGTTCACTTTTAAGAGCTGATTTTTAGTTGTAATTTTGCAAATTTCTGCCTCTGTATAAAGTTTGCTATAAAAACTTTGGTGGAAATTGATTTTTAGGAAGAATAGGAAAAATGAAAGAAAGTTATTTTTCCAAGCCATTTCAAAGCAACAAAATTCAACAAAAATAACTGCAAAAAAATATAATAGCACCTTACTTTATGAAAAGAGACTCAGAGGGAACAGACAACGGGACTAATATCAACTTTACAGTCTGTCCTGTTTTATTTCATTTTGTATTCAACAATTTGTAGGAGAGAAAATGTATGTTTTTTTTCATACATTTTTATTGCGTAAAACATGATTCAAGAAAATCACTATTTAATCGAAGCACAGCCAGGTAAATCTGTATTGAGCTCTCAATGCCTACAAAAATGAACTCGAGTTGAAGTGAAACATGTAATTCATAAAAAAATTTAAAAATCATTTTGTCTGAAAAGGTCCTCAGATGTATCTGAAGTGCCTTTTTATGCCTCCGTTAGGCCTTTTGAAGTGTAAGAATTGAAAAAAAAATTCCAGCAAATTGATTGGCTTCAAAGTAGAATAATTGTAGCATCCACAATTCAGGGAACCATAACGCATGATGGATTTTGCATTGCTATTATAATAACTGAGCGGTCTTGGAAAAACATCTGGAAATATTTGTAATCTGATACTTTTGTCCCAGGTCTCCCAGAGATTCAAGTCCACTGAGAAGTTGCGATCTTGGAAAAACAATCTGGAATTTTTAGTAAATTGATACTTTTGTCCCACGTCTCCCAGAGATTCAATTCTACGGAGATTTTTATGGCCAAGTCTCGATAGAAAAAAAACGCATCCAATTTTTTTGGCTCTTCTAAAAGTCGGCTCTCTGACAAACGCTTGAGGTGGAGAAAGTCTTCAAGTCTGGAATGTGATGAAATAAGAGAAACTGACTATGTCTATTCGGGCTGGAGAGCTTTTCATAAATCCTCTGCGAATCGCCGAATTGCCGCTCATACATTAGATAAATTTTTTTCCACCTTAATTTAAGTCGAGATGTTACAGTTTTCAAATATCTTGTTGCAGCTGCATAACAGCGAAATTGATAATACTTATCAGCATCTGATTTGCTTTCTTATTTATGGAACGGGAAAAAAACGGAAATATTTTGAAATATTGTGTAAAGACAGGGCTGAAAGACATACAAATTAGGCATTTCAATTATGGAACAATTCCGAAGCAGCTTCTGATAAGAACTACATTTCTTATTCCATCAATAGCACTGGTTTGCTCTTGGTTAAGGCTTTTCATGATTTAAATGTCGAGAGAAAATGTAATCACTTTTCAGAGAGTTGATTTTGACAAGGTATTTGTTATGTGATTTTGGTCATTTTATCGCCGAGAAGACCAAAAAGGTGATTTTAGAGTGATATTGATACGATCTTTGGTTGATATTTTTAGATCCACTTTCTTGGTCTAGTAGTTTGAATAAGTTATTTGAACACCAGCAAGCAGTACTGTTAAATTTCTTTCAAGTTTTTGATATTTGTTTTACAGAGAGCAAAAAACCGAACGCATCAACCAGAATTGAGCAGTTGCAGCTGTGCGTGAATGAATTGACAGGCAACAGTGGATCTGAGTTCAGACTTCTGGCTGGCGATCTGAACCTGAGAGACTATGAGCTACACAAAGTGCAGAACATGGGCACTGTCAAGGACGCCTGGATTGAAGCTGGTTAAGATGTTTTGAATTAAGTCTGTTCGATGTTTTGAGTTGCGTTACTTTTTGTATGTTGGCTAGTTTTTTTTTGCATATTTATTCAGAAAGTTACAGAACAGACTTACGAAACTCTTTAATACTGGCCGCAAAAATCGATTGAATCACCGGGTTTTTCATAAACCAAACCCCAAAAAATCGTCTTGCCTCGTTGATAATTGGGCTCAATATCGGAATTTGTACTCCTGGGTAAGCATTTATCAGTTCTTGAAGTATTAGAGTGCAGGTTGATTTCGCTCCCTTATTTTACTTAATTATTATATGAAAAGTTCAATATCAATAGCCTAAATGGACGAACAAAACATTTTTGAACCGATTTGAAATTTTTGGTTGTATTGATTGTTTTTTTGTTTAATAATCTGCCAAAATATCGTTCAGAATCAAAGAAGCTGGTATTTTAAACTTATCTGGAAGCAAATGATTACTATGTAAATGAAAAGCTACATATTCCTGGGCGATATGACATTCAGGTTCGGTGAAAGAGCATCAGTATACCTGGGACATGTCTATCAACGACAACTTGCAAGACACGCCAAACAAGCCTCTCGCTTGGAAGTGTCGCTTCGACCGAATGTATTACATATCCGAAAAGCACAAGTCAGAGCCAGGTACTTGCTGTTCATCGAAACAGACAGAAGCGAAGGATCGATTCGAGCTGAAAAAATTCGAACTTATTGGAATGGAGAGACTTGCGTGTGGATTGTTTACAAGCGATCATTTTGGAATGTGGGCTGAATTTAAGGTCAATTTAACGTAGTTGAAAGTCAATGAAAATAATGTGAGGTAATTTTGATCATAGAAATTTATTATCTGCTCTTTAATACTAAACCCTTTAGATTTTTAGTTTAATTTACAGATTTTTGAAATGAAATGGCGTTGGTTATCTATATATTTATGTAGTGAGTTTTTAGAAGTATTTATTTCACTTGCGAGAGCAATTGGCTATTGACCTGTTTTCGGGAACTGGACATTTTTCCCGTAAACAGTTTTTATAACAAAAATATGCGCTCAATTTCTGCTGCTGCATCTGCTGCACAGACATGCTCAATTTCTTGAAAATTCAAATTAAAGTGAATTTTGTGATATCTTACAAGACTATCGTTAGGGAAGACTAATTTATAATTCCAGATAATTAAATTGTTCTTCAATTAATGGTTTTTCTCTTTGAGAACTGCTGAGATCTACAGAGATTCGTGTTAGTCCGATCGACTTAGCGGTGTACCGAAGGTTTCAGTTACAGTGACCTTGGTCAATTATGTAATATAAGTAGAATAGATATATAGATCACTCAACGTTACGTTAAGTTACTGCTATTGCAGTAGCAGTATCACATACCTCCTTGGGTGAATTTTTTTTCACTTTTATGTAAATATTTTTATACTAACGATAGGAGTTTTTAATCTCAGTTTTAAAAGTTTCAATTTCAACTGCAAAATTTTTTGTTGGCTATTTTTCTCCTCAATCTTCCTCCAGTTCTATTCTCCAACTGGGTTCCAGTCTACTCCCTCGTCTAGAGAAGCGTATCCGAATTTTCGTCTGAATAGGTGTCTATCCAGAAGCCCAAGTTGCGTTTCAATTGGTCTATTTTTTCGTGTTTTAAAGTAGATTAATCGTTTCCTGTATTCTTGTGGGGTCGTTTTTAGAAGAGCCCCCTTGATAGTTCTTCTTACGATCTTTTTTTATCGAAGCTTGAATGGGTCGCCACAACGCTGGGGTTCCTTGCTCTTTGTTTGTCGTGAGCTTCTCCTGACCCCGGTGTCTTCCATGCTGGATTCGTCAGATGCGCCTGTTGGAGGGTCAAATCGTTCATCACGTTCTCCCGCAGATTGGTTTTTTCCTCTTAGTTCGTCTGCCGCTTTTTGTACTCCACTCTTTAGCACTTGGTCCTTAGCACTTGGTTGTTTGGCTTTGTTGGAATCTTTCTTCGTGGAACGACGAATTGGCCTGCTAAGACTGAAGTTGCAGTTCCTCATCCGAGTCACTCTCCTGCAACTTCTCAGATGAACTAATCTTTTGGAGTTTTTTTCGTGGCCCCGCTAATGAGCTCTTACTCGAGCCTTGCCCCGGTTCTGGTTGCAGATGAATTTTGCTTCTACAATATCCGATTTTTGGTAGATTGAACCTTTGGATGTTTTCACTGTCGACCCTCTCTCGGACGCTATTTTTCCTTTTAAAGGCTTCATGAAAGCCTGGCCGCTTTTTCTAAGATCTTCTTTGACCTCAATGAATCCCTTCTTCCAGGAGTAAATCATTTCTTTTCTTAGTTCGGGATTAAACTGGCCAGCTGCATCCCTTATGGGCAATATGTCGTTCTTTGCGGTGTCTCTACGCTTCTCATTCTATCTGGCGTTTGCTTCCAATAGATATTGTAGGACCTTTGCTCGTTTTCGCTCTCGTGCTGTTCTAATTTGTTGTTTGTACATCGGATTGGCTTCTCTGCTGAGTGATATTTTTTTGACAATTTTCAGGTTTTCTTTGGACTGGTCGTTTTTTCTCTTGAGTTGGGATACTGTCAGCGCAGAGATCGTTCCAGATGTTGTTTGTCTAAATAATCAGAATCCGTTAGGAATCTATCACGTATTATTTTTCATTCAGTTTTCGGGAGTCTTTTGAAATGTGCCTGAAACGGAGAAACTTGTATGGTATTTTTTTTTTTGTTTGTTCAACGCAAATCACGGCTTATTTTGCAGAGACAGAGTTTGATCGAGTGTTTTTAACACTATTTTCAGTCTTCGCTTTATCATTTGTATAGTTCGTGCTACTAATCCTAGTGGACCGAATTTTTGTTCAATTTTGATTTCTGTACAGATTTTCTTAAGTGTTTTACCCTCGCAGCCAAAAACTTGATCGGAGTGGATCGATTCCGGGATGCCATGTGTATCAAAAAAAAATTCGCAAAAATAGTCTCGTAGTCTTTCCGCTCATTGATTTGGTTACTTTTACTGACGGAAATTTCGAAAATCTATCAATAGCTTCGAGACTATTTTTTTCCGTTATGATTTCTATTGGATCCGCGTAATCTATCTGAAGTTCCCGACCCGGCTGCGTAAGCAGTAATAGTGGTTTGGATGCGCTTTTGGGAATTAGATATTTTGTGTTCTTACCATATCTGGTGCAACTTCGGCATTCTTCCGCGAGATTGACTATGTCCTTGTGCATGTGAGGCCGCCACAGTTATCTTGATACTACCAGCAACGCTTCCTGTCCTGGGTTTCCTTAGTGAATTTGTTTTAGTACTGACTGGAGTAGTGGTCCACCAGTATGCAATCGTCTTGCACTGCCATCTGGTTCCACAAGGGACTTTTATAGGGTCCAATCGGTTCGAATCCCTGTTTGTCCCCTCTCTCGATCACCCTCCTGAGTCGATCCATCCAGGTATATTCTAAGGTTAGCTCTGCGTGAAGATTCTTAATAAAAAGTTTTGAAAGCTTGTCCAGTGAGTCCTCCCCTGACTGTTTGGGCAGCTCATCGTCTTTTCTGGAGTTGTGGCGATTTCGTCGTGGTGGCTCGATTGTGCATATTTTTTGTTCACCTTCGGTATCCTCTGTAGTCGTGAGATCGACTTCGATCACCTGGACGTCACTCCGCAGGGTTTCATTAGGCTGTGTGGGTGATATACTGATTGAAACTGGGACATTATCTTCAGTTGCCGCTTCTAGTTTACGTGTGCTACTTGGTGGTGTGCTTGATTCTCCTCCAATTAGCTGTCAGAAAGAAAGCAGTCTGCTGTCAGCTTCCTTTTGTTGCTCCTCCGACAATTCCCTGTCATATAGTATTCATTTAGTTCAATTTACAGCCATCAATCAACTGTCAATCGTAGTGCTAAATAGTAAAATAGTATGTTAGCAGGTGCTGTCCTTAGCATAGTCTGTCACCCATGGTTAACCTTTAGTGTCACTCTTATTGTTAACTTTGTGAAATCAATTCGATTATCATTTGGAATTTACATACTGTACAATTAACGTTTTCAACATGGCATAGACAGCAGTCTCAGGTGGGAGAAAATCCACTGGGTATTACAGGATTCTGGCCATCGAAATGTACTGAGCCGCCAATGATGTGGGAGTTTTGGATTAACAGATTCCAATAGAGAATGGTCGCAAAACACACAATCAACCCGAAAAACTACTACTTTGCAGCGACCCTTACTGCAGCCCAAATCACCGCTTTGCCCGAGGAAGTTGACGGCAAGAATCGATTGGAAACAGAACACATATTGATTTCAAACTTGTATTTGTGTCTGGGGGAAAGGGACAGGACGAGCTGAACAAGAGATGACCACATCTGGATCTCTCAACGGTTCGTTATCCAAGGATGTGAGACGTACTGGAGACTGAATTCAAGAAGGAAAGGAAAGAGAGATATGAGACATTCCAACTTCTCTCTCGGACACAATTCATCAAGGAAAGTCTGGAGCAATTCCACTCTCTTCTAAGCGGACTTGCGGCCCGATGCAACTTTGGAACGTTGGAAGATCGTATCCTCAGGGACGTATTCATCGTAAATATGAATCACCGCGAAGCACAAAAGAAATTGTGCAGATCAACCAAAACACCGGAAGAGGTCTATAGGATCGCCCTTTCGTACGAGCAGGGCAATAAGTATGCCAAATCTTACGTTGCAAGCTCAGCCGGGGGATCCATGGGAACTCAAGGATCATCATCGGGGGTGGAATCCAAATCAAAACAGAACCGGTCGGGACTATACGAGAAGGATTTCGTAATAACAGTGCAAGAGGCAGAGGCAGAAACCAGGGACGAGGCTGAAACCGGGGGAGGGGGGAATCTGCTCCAGAACAAACGATGCTACAATTGCAACCAACCAAATTTCACAAGAGAACATTTGGATAGATGCCCAGCGAAAGGAGCCACGTGTAATTTCTGCCGTAAAATTGGACATATCGAACGAACCTGTAGGGGAAAGCGTGGAAATCAGCGAGGGCGGGTAGCAGTAGGAATGGTTCGTGAAAATGCCGACGATAGACATCTGGAAAATTCGGAGGATGAGGAAGCGTCTCAACACGCAAGTTCCATTGGATGGGTAAATAAGAATCCAGTAGTACATTCGTGGAATTCAAGCAGTTCAGATGGGAACTACATGGTAATGGCAATAAAAAACAAACGATTCACGGAGTTAAAAGTCGCTGGGGCACAGCTGCTGATTAGATCAAATGGGAAGTCTGCTCGGGTGTGGCTCGATAGCGGGTCCCCAATCTCAATTTTCACCATCGGGTAACTGAGAAGAACCCTTGGAGCTTCGGGAATAAAACTGGACGCCCTCTCGAACGAGGATAATGCATTTCGGGATTATGCAAATAATCCGTTTCAGATGGTCGGAACAATGGCTGTCACTTAAGAATCCAAAGGCTGGAAGATAAACGCGAGGATAAAAGTCATCGGAGGTAACTGCCCATCTATACTTGGAAGAGACCTGATGCCTCATCTAGGATTACAGTTGGTGCAACAAGCACCAGGGGACCCGATAATGTCCACTGATGAGGAGGACAAGGTGGCATCGCGGCAAGATGGGGAGCTGGACTCTTGGCAAACTTACTTCAGTGAGCATTTTTCAAAACTTTTTAACAGGATAGGCAAAACAAGAAATTATAAAGTGCAAGCAGAGTTTTTTGAAAATCTAATACCAGTACAGCAGAAGTGACGACGAGTCCCCATTACATTGCAAGAAAAAGTAGATACGGAAATCGATAAACTACTGAAACAAGTTCACATTGAAAAGCTAACGGAATGCTCGGATAAT